GTGTGCTTCTAAGATGTCAGTGGGAATAAAGTGATCAGCAGCGTAATGCACAGATCATGTCCCACATCCTGCAAGTCTGTTAGAAAAGAACAGCTCTCTAATGGCTTAGAGGTTTGATTCTTGTGTCAAATTTAAATCAGGGTGGCCATGGGTCCTTAAAAAGTCTTAAAAAGTCGTAAATCAATTTTCCTCAAAATAAGGCCTTGAAAAGTATTAAATTGTCTTAAATTAATTTTGCATGGGTCTTAAATATTTTTGATTCATGTCACCGTGAAAATGCGGGCAATCTGTTCTGGGAGGTCGAATATTTTTTTTAGCCTATGTGCTGCGTTGTCTATGGTTAGGTCAGAGCGTAGACTACTGCGCAGCTCGTATTGCGCAGCTCTTGATGGCGTAGGCTAAAGCATCTACAGGTAGGCTGAATACAGCACCGATAGCCACTCGACTACTTAAACATGGGGAAATGCAAGTTCAATCACATATGGCTAGAAAAGAATGAATATTCTAGGTTATGGTCGGTGCCTGGCAACTCACAGAACTCAAAGAGGTTGAGAAAGAGCTGGAAGATAAATCAGCAGAACTCCGGCATATGCCATAATGTCAAATCAGGCATTGTCTCCCTTCTCTTTACCTTCCTGCCTCTCCGTTTCAAGTGTTCATATGGTCATTTTATGCACATGCACATTGTTATAAATGGGCAAGTACACTCTTTAGGGAAGGCTTTCTCAAATGCCAAGTTGTCTAATATTATTATTATTTTATCTTTTAATTTTGGTTGATTCAATAGTTGTCACACAAGTTGTATTATGTAAATGTCTTTGCACTTTGAAAGCAGCTGAAGTTGTAATTTATTTATGTTTATTTTTGTTCTGAAGGAACAGTATTTTATATATTTACTTGATTTTATAAGCATTTGTTCATGGGACCTAAATGTTCTGAAAATATTGTAATAAATATAATTTAGGACTGTAATGACATGTTTGTTGTCTTTTCGCATTACACACATTTAGCCGATGTTCTTAAACTCAACCGTCATTTTGATTTGGATTTCCATCGTACGTTTGGTTTTAAATTTCATTTAAAAAGGTATTAAAAGTTCTTAAAAAGTATTAAATTTAACTTGTTTATACTTGTAGACACCCTGTTAAATACTACCTTCATGTGGTTCGATAAAGATGATCCTTTATATTTGCAAAGAGCAAATTACTAGTGATTTCTCTTCTAGAGCTTTTGTTGGGGTAGAGTAGAGGAACGTAGTTGATGCACAGATTGTCCTGAGCATTACCGCGCTCTCACTGGCAAACACTAGAGAGCAAATGGGAAAATTGTCAAAACACGGTTCACACTGGAGCTGAAACAATTAATTGGATTAATCGTGATCAATTATTGAAATAACCATGAACTAATTAAACTAAAAGGTGCTGCCTTGTGGGCTTTTTGGGCTCACCTCTATTGTAGTTATACTTGGAAGCTTTGGTCATAAGCAGGAAGCCTGAGAGAGTCAACCAGCTGTGTCCTCTGTCCAATAACTGTCCATCGGTGTGACCCAAAGGAAGACAGTCAGCACTTTAAAGGACACCGTTGCTGGCAGGACAGTGGAGCCTTGGACGAAACCATTTAACATTTTTACAGCGCAGGTTTGTCAGACCTTTGAGCTCATCTTCCACTAGTTCAAAATGACCTGTGAGCAGCTCAACTAATAACTAATAACTTTCTTTTCTTTCTTCGGTTCTATTTAGTACACAGCTTTGTCAAAGTATTCATAGAATACAAGATAAACTTAGACTTATGCCGTTTCTCAATTCACTAGAACGTGAGTATAGACTCGTGTTCACGCCAAGTATGTTTTTGAGAAGAACACAGGAAAGTGTGGACTCTGAGAGAATGGGAGAATGCAGCATAAATATGGGTCAGTTGGAACAGAAATGTACTGATGACATCACCATGACATTTCATATGAGAGGAAGAAGAGAAAGAAGAATCTTTGTTTTTGTCCACTGAGCGATTTGCCCACGACCACCTTACGACGGCGACTGAATTTCAAACATGTTTGATTTTCTCCTGACCTTACGACTCCTGATGGGGAGGGAGTCGTTAGAGGCCGATCGCCCTTCGTTACCCGCTGTACGCTAAACCACGCACCATCAGGCTGAAAGTCGGGCCGATCGGAAAATTCTCGCACCACTGTAAAGTCGCTTCGAAAAGGGCGTAAAATCGCACGGTGTAAGCCCAGCTTTAATCTGTAATTGTCCCTGAGAGTAAAAAGCCAGGATGAATGAATGAGTTTATGAAGACAAACTGCTGTTTTCCCTATGACATAATCACTATTAAGTTTCCCTTAATGGCCCCAAAGCAGCTTTCTCTTTCACACTTCACCTTATATAGAGTCTTTTTTTTTTTTACAAGACTGTAAAGTTCACCTGCACTCCTGACTGTTACTATGGTAACAACTCTTTCACTACTCACTTTGACTGATTATTGATTTTTTGAATTTTCGGGGGATTTCGTAGCATAACGATGACATATAGCAATATTTCATTAGTAAAAGAGATTGATATGGTGTTTTTAAATGGCAATATATCAGCATATGAAGATATTGGGATATTTTAATGGATCAATATTTTTCCCTCGTCTTTAGAAGTTTTTAAGTCTGTAAAAAAGAAGTTTTTGAGGAAGAAGAAGAAGTAGTATATATTTTTTTTTTTAGACTTTAGAAACTCAGAAGCTGATCAAATATCGGGTTAAATATCGGTGGGGGGGCCGATGTCCGATATTCAGTTTTAAGGCCGATACCGATAGGGGGCCGATTATATCGTGCATCCCTAGTATTCATCTCTATACTCATTCAGTAGAAAACCCATGTCCTGTATTTATGGAACCAATATCTACAGGTGCTGGTCATAAAATTAGAATATCATGAAAAAGTAGATTGATTTCAGTAATTCCATTTCAAAAGTGAAACTTGTATATTATATTCATACATTACATACAAACTCATATATTTCAGATGTTTATTTTGTTTAATTTTGATGATTACAAATGACAACAAATGAAAATCTCAAATTCATCATATCAGAAAATTAGAATATTGTGAAAAGGTTCAAAATTGATGGCCCCTGGTGCCACACTCTAATCAGCTAATTAACTCAAACCACCTGCAAAAGCCTTTAAATGGTCTTTCAGTCTAGTTCTATAGGCTACACAATCATGGGGAAGACTGCTGACTTGACAGTTGTCCAAAAGACGACCATCGACACCTTGCACAAGGAGGGCAAGACACAAAAGGTCATCGCTAAAGAGGCTGGCTGTTCACAGAGCTCAGTGTCCAAGCACATTAATAGAGAGGCGAAGGGAAGGAAAAGATGTGGTCGAAAAAAGTGTACAAGCAAGAGAGATAACCGCACCCTGGAGAGGATTGTGAAACAAAACCCATTCAAAAATGTGGGGGAGATTCACAAAGAGTGGACTGCAGCTGGAGTGAGTGCTTCAAGAACCACCACACACAGACGTATGAAAGACATGGGTTTCTGCTGTCGCATTCCTTGTGTCAAGCCACTCTTGAACCACAGACAGCGTCAGAAGCGTCTTGCCTGGGCTAAAGAGAAACAGGACTGGACTGCTGGTGAGTGGTCCAAAGTCATGTTCTCTGATGAAAGTAAATTTTGCATTTCCTTTGGAAATCAAGGTCCCAGAGTCTGGAGGAAAAGAAGAGAGGCACTTCATCCACGTTGCTTGAAGTCCAGTGTAAAGTTTCCACAGTCAGTGATGGTTTGGGGTGACATGTCATCTGCTGGTGTTGGTCCATTGTGTTTTCTGAGGTCCAGGGTCAACGCAGCCACATACCAGGAAGTTTTAGAGCACTTCATGCTTCCTGCAGCTGACCAACTTTTTGGAGATGCAGATTTCATTTTCCAACAGGACTTGGCACCTGCACACAGTGCCAAAGCTACCAGTACCTGGTTGAAGGACCATAGTATCCCTGTTCTTAATTGGCCAGCAAACTCTCCTGACCTTAACCCCATAGAAAATCTATGGGGTATTGTGAAGAAGAAGATGCAATACACCAGACCCAACAATTCAGAAGAGCTAAAAGCCACTATTAGAGCAACCTGGGCTATCATAACACCTGAGCAGTGCCACAGACTGATCGACTCCATGCCACGCCGCATTGCTGCAGTAATACAGGCCAAAGGAGGCCCAACTAAATACTGAGTGCTGTACATGCTCATACTTTTCATGTTCATACTTTTCAGTTGGCCAACATTTCTATAAATCCTTTGTTTTTATTGGTCTTCAGTAATATTCTAATTTTCTGATATGATGAATTTGAGATTTTCATTTGTTGTCATTTGTAATCATCAAAATTAAACAAAATAAACATCTGAAATATATGAGTTTGTATGTAATGTATGAATATAATATACAAGTTTCACTTTTTAAATGGAATTACTGAAATCAATCTACTTTTTCATGATATTCTAATTTTATGACCAGCACCTGTATCCTGCACTTGCTGCTATTGCACTTCTGGTTAGACCTAAACTGCATTTCGTTGCCTTGTACCTGTACATGCATAAATGACAATAAAGTTGATTCTAATCTAATCTAATCTAATCTATATTCTGAGCTGGGACCTTGTAGAAGATGGTTAGTACTGGGACAGATGGGTATTGGGATGTGTTGTTCCTCATTAATTGTTAGAAATAAAGAATTGTGTCTTGGTTTCAAGTCTAAAGCCTAAATGTCCCGTTAAAAGCTGATCAACCACTAAAGGCTGCTGTATGTTCATGTGGGGTTTTGTCTCATTAGTATGTTTGAGTGAGTCGTCTGTTTGGGTCAGGAGACGGTTAGAAAAGCAGAACTAATTAACTGATTTCTTAGATAAAGTAGTTCAAATGAAGTTTGACAGTAATTTATGCATTAATTATACATGTGGCTTGTAAAAAGGAGATATTACATTTGTTATCTGTTATTCTTTTCTCTTCATTTCTGTGATACAGATCGAGAGGACCAGTCCATTCTTTGCACGTAAGTAAATAGTCATATAAAAACATATAACAGTGCATTTATCTGCTGTTGTCTTTATTTGTTACATTTCTGTGTATGCCTCAACTATGACTTTGAGTTTATTTTGTATATATCTAGAACCAGGGGGGGATTTACCATTACGCAATACTAGGCGGTTGCCTAGGGCCCCAAGTTCCCATAAAACTCAGTTTACATGTATTGTTAATACAACTATTCCTTATTTTTGCACATTATGTTTTTATAAAAATGCTTTGGCTAAAATGTCATCAGAACGCTGATAATATTAAGTGTGTCTCAGCCCCCCCCCAGTGTCCACCATATTGGATCAGTCCATTTGCTGCACATGTTCAGAAAGGTCCAACCAGACAGCAGCAAACCATTTGAAAACAAACTATGCAAAGAGCAGTGTTGCCAACTAAGCGCTTTAGTCGCTATATTTAGCCACTTTTCAGACCCCTCTAGCACTTTGATTTCTAAAAAGCTCCTAGCGCCAAATCTAGAGACTTTTTTCTGCTACTAGAGACTTTGGAGACAACATCTAAAAGCAGCGAACTCTGCTCTCCAGAGCGAGTAGATTGGTAACCCCGCCTCCTGCTCTCCTCTATCTTGTCTGCTGTCATGATTCATGCAGCTATTATTTCATCCAAATGAAAAATGGAGAACAGATAAGCAGATCATGGCTTGTCTACAGGGAAAAGAAGGACTGGGTTATTTACTTTGGCCTTTTTGGAAACACAGGAAGGAGCAATCAGCTAAGTGAGCTTAGTGCTTGGAAAAAATCTTTCATTCCTTTAGAGACAGCATGAAAAGTCAGCTGAGTACAAAACATAGAGAGGAAAACAAGAAGAAAAGGGACAAGAAGAGAGGGACACAACCTAGAACAGATAATGGATGTCTATTCTATTAACATTTCTCTATCTGTAGAATGGGTCTGTTCTATGTGTTGTGTTCTCCATTCAGAGGGGCCCCTGCCTGTCTTTGCCTAGGGCCCCAAATTTCCTGAATCAGCCCCTGTATTGGTTTAGTTCCTTCTCGTTCTTTGCCTCAGAAATTACTGAACACAAAATGTAGTTCAGTGAAATCCCTTGAAAATCCATGGACTGAATTAAGGGCAGTCCTTCTGACAGGATCATCATCTTTGTGGCTGAAAATTGCAACTTTTATTTACTATCTGCCGCCATAGCAGGACTCACCGCTCAGAGTTTGTATCAGTTTGAAAAGTCACAGTAGCCTTGTGAGACCATCCTGATCTCGCGAGCTTTCAAGATTTCACTCGCTAATCAGTCTGGAGACTCTCCGTTAAAGAAAGTTTGGAGCCGTTCACCAAACGAACGTCCAATCAGCGTTGGCTTTGAGGCGGGTTGAGGTGTGACGCAACGAGAAGCGCGACAGTTCAGTCTAAAGAACATGGCGGCTTCAGCCGATGAAACTAGCGTTAGCGTGGCTATCGAGCAAGCTTATCGGAATTACAGAGTATTTCTTCACTGAAAGAAGAGCAAAACACTGCTCTGGAGGCTTTTCTCAGAGGAAAAGATGTTTTTGCTCTTCTCCTGACTGGTTTTGGCAAGAGTAGCCTGGCTTGTGGTTGTGTTTTTGTTGTCGCTCTGTTACGCCATATGCTCCGTTGATCTGATTGGTTTATTTGGCCCGTCTATCACCAACATAGGCCAATCAGCTAACCAGTATTTTCGCCCCTTCCCAAAATTACTTCAACGGAAGGTTTCCAGATGGATATGTGGAGCAAATCCATCTGGCGGAGTCAGGTTAGAGTTGGTATCCTCCCTCCTGGAAAATATTAAATTTATACTCTCTGAAATGCTATTTCCTGCATTTTGAGGTGGAATGATCCTAACTTTTTGTCTTTTTTTACAACACTACTTTTGTCCTGATTATGGGAAGTAAGGGTATGGAAAAAAAAAAAACAGTTTTGGTCGATGTTCATAAGTATATCTGATATTGGTGAGATTTACTGATCAACATCATTGCAGCTACTGTTTAAACGCTAACTATTAGCCTCACAAATGAAGAGGAGCTCAGTATTTCCTGTTTACGGACTATAAACATGGGCCTTTGACCAAAGTCAAGGACTAAACAGCTCTCACACTTCCATTATGGCCGAGTGAAAGCAAAACAATATCTAGCACATAGTTGGCCTATGCAAATGTGCACTGTCTGTAAAACCTCGGATACGCTTTAAGCCTGAGCTTCTGTGCCAAACATTTGGGATTTCAAGGCCTTGGGAACATTTTGGAGGATTTTTGCTAAGCCAGTGTATCTATGTGGCAAAGGAGGAAGAAGAATGCCAGAAGCCACAGCTGCAAAATGTAGAAAATATACAGCAGAAAAAGACAGAGATGATAGCTGACATCTGTTTTTCGGGGAGGCAAATATCTTTAAGGTGGAGGGATATACCTGAAAAATATGCAAAAAACAATAAGAAAAAACTGCAATGATTATCTGATGGTACCTTATTAATATGGCTTCATTTGGGAAGGCCTGTTTCTCTATTGATTGTCTTCCTTTGCCTTGCAGGGGCGAGTCAGGAGCCGGTAAGACGGAAAACACCAAGAAGGTCATCCAGTACCTCGCACATGTTGCTTCCTCCCACAAAGGAAGAAGAGACCACAACATTCCTGTGAGTCCTGCAGCAGAGCCACCGAATATCCCTGACTTTACGCTCTGCAGTAACCAATGATTCAGTCCTCTAACTATCTGGGTCTCTGCAGACAGATGAGATAAGTTTTGGTAACATGACAGAAAATATGCAGCTGTATTACTCAATTATTCATCGCTTTATATGCCAAAACTGTGTACAATTCTTTAACAATTTATATGTTTTTTTTATTTATAACCAACAGCCTGAATCCCCCAAACCAGTGAAGCTACAGGCAAGTCTACTTTTTTTTTAAATATCCTGTTTATTTGCATGCTTCCCTAAAAAAGTCCTTTCAATTAAAGGAAAAATTCAGTCAGCAAGGAATAATCAATGGATCATTATTTATACAGGGTTCCAGCGGGTCCTTAAAAAGTCTTAAAAGGCATTGAATTCTTCAAAATAAAACTAAGGCCTTAATTGGTATTAAAATGTCTTAAATCAGTCTTTCGTAGGTCTTAATTTTTAAAACATCATAAATAGGGTTATTTTTATTATGATTTATTTTTGTAATCTAAATAAAATGTTAAAATTGAGCTTTTTTTTTTTTTTTTTTTTTTATAACGGCTCTCCATTATTGGTTCCGTCCCGATAGCGGAACCAATAAAGCGTTGTTGCGGCCGGGACATTTGGGAGATGCACCATTAACTTTTTGTCTGGAAAATATGAGCAAGTGTAAATGGAACCAAAATTGTCTCCAGCCAAGAGTTTTCTCCATGGCTAAAACCAGGGAACATACATGAGGCTCAGTGGATTTAGTGCAAGAAGTCATTCAAGCTCAGAACGATGGGAATTAAGGCAGTGGAGTCGCACATGCGAAGCACGAAACACAAAGCGTCAAAATGGAGTTACAGAGAAACAGCCGGTATTTCTCAGTTTAGTTCCACCCTTGTCTCTGCAACGCCTCCACTTATCACCAAATCAAACATACTAAGAAAACCATACAAAGAAAAATAGCTGCAAAAAAGACTTAGCATTGGTTATGTTGTGGCTTTAAAACTGATTTGTTTTGTTCCCTGCTAAAACAAAGTTTGTGAGTTCAGTTAAATAATTGTTCAAATATATCTGTCATTTGTGTGTTTTTAGCTTTCTTCCTGTATGGGAAGCTTTTCAACATTTGAAACATTAGTGCAGTGGTTTATGTTAAAATAAACCTTTGGGTTAAGTTGTCGCAAGCAGGTTTTTCTTGTGTTTCTTGTGAATTTGGTCTTAAATTTTTATTTCAAGTGGCATTAAAAAGTCTTGAATTTAACTTGGCTTATGCTGTAGGAACCCTGTTATACCTAAACATAATACATTTGCGGTGATTTAATTAATTTAGTGTTAATCGGTCACGATCGCTGAGTCTGGGAGCGGCCATTTTTGCCCAAATATAGTAGCCCCTCCCTCCTGCCATCTTCCAGCAGTGACGTCACGGTGCGGTAAGCCTAGCGCCATTCTCCCCGCTTTCCAAGCTAAATCAATGGGAACTACTAGACACATCTGCAATCAACAACAATTATTGAAGATTTCCAGAGGACTTCACCATTGAAATTCACCAGAGCTATAGTGAAACTGACAATGCCCACGTGCATGGCAGCTGGATGCTGGAATACATCGGGTAAAAGTGAAAAAAAAGAGTTATTCCACCTTTCTGATTCCTGATCCTCCACGGACGGGTTGGTCGTTGGATCGCCAACTTGAAGAGGGAGGATTTGCCATCAAACTTCTGGCCAGAGAAAAAACCCGTAATATGTAGCCAACATTTGGAAGAAGAATGTTTTCAAGATGACTTGGATAATAGCGCGTTGTGACAAACACCAGATACAGCACTGGGACTTGATCAACAGCCGATACCGCACCGTGACGTCACTAACCAGTAGGTGGCAGTAGTGTTCTTTGACAAACATGGATGCCTCCAGTAAAGCACATTCAAATGAAAATTACTCTGAATTAAAAACACTGATCATTTATTGAACAGGATGGAATCATTTCAGATTTAAAGAACTCTCAGAAGTTTTAATTCTGAATATAACTGGACTTTTCCTTTAAAGCAACTTTGACTCATATCTCTTTGCATTTTGAATGCAAAGCAAACATGGAGTAAATTAATAATTCAGATGATTTTAAATGCCTGTAATGAAAACTTTCTTAGAATCTATTCTCTGTCTTTATCAGGCCCAAAATGCAGTTGTAAGTAAATGTTCAAATTAGCATGATCACTCACCGTCTTGCTGTTGTGTTCTTCTCCACTGTGCTGTACTTATGTTGTGCCTGCCGTATTCGTCGTGTGAAACAAACTGATGTGCATGTCATAGTTAGGACTGCAAGCCGCAGTGAAGCCTCAGCTGTCATCGTGTGCTTTGAGGTCACAATTACAGCTAAATCTGCACGTTTGTTTTCTAAACTGTTGAACACTAAACTTGCGTAAAGCAGAATTCACCTATATTGGTCCCCCTGATAAACGAGTCAAATGCTTGAAAATAGAATAGATTTTTTTTCTTTATTTGAGCAGCATAATCTCACACTAAAAACCTTGATCTGTTGTTTAGGCTGCATGTTTTTAGATCAATATTCTGTTCAAATAAATGTTTACAGTATCACGGTGTTTTTAAAAGTTACTGAGGAAATGTGCTCTAAAATAGTTCAGATTGAATATTTCAAAAAAGTTCAAAACAATCCACTGGACTTTGTTTCCAAGTTTCAAGACGTTTCGCTTCCCATCCAGGAAGCTTTTTCAATTCAAAATGTCAGAAATAATGTTGAGTTTGAGGCTTTATACCAGAGATTACGGAATAGCAGACCGGACCCACCTGCTGGCTAATCCAGACCCAACCAATAAATAATTTAATGTTGTATGACAACAGTAACTAACTTCACCACCTCCGCTTCTCCTGTTAATACGGTAAAGCCCTGGGGAGCGTCCGGCTCCAGGCTGCACGTGATCGAAATGAGCCAATGAGCTGTCAGTCTGGGTTGCTGCTGCTGCTACTTTTAGACACAGCAGGCAAACCTGTGGCAAGCCGGGCGATGGGAAAGAAGGAGAAGACCATGAGAAAAAGAGAGCAGAGAAAGTGTGGACTGCTGGAAGAACTGCGGTGAACTGGTGAAAGAAAAGTGAAATGGCGTGCTCAAAGATGACCCTGCACATTTAGAGGATGTTTGGCTCAACCTGCTGCTGTGAAGCAGGATTCTCCACCATGAACAGAATCAACAATAAATCTGGATCCAGGCTCAAAATGAGCTCCTTGATATGTGCTTGAGAATGGCTTAGTCTCCATTCAAACCCAGGTTTAAAGCCTTGCAGGGCAGCCTAAAGTCCACTACCAACATTAAGACAGAAAAGAGAAAGAAAGGAAAAAAAACGGTACATTCAGGTGTTTTATAAAAGATATTAAAGTCAGGAAATCGTCTATATATCAGAGATTGTTTCAAAAAGCACTTTAGATATTAAACTGGAAGTATAACATGGATGCATAAACACCTGCATTTTATTTCAGTGTCAAATGCTGTTTAAAGTGACGGATTATAATTATAAAAGTCTTTGGACCTTTATTGGCTGATTTTAAATTGTTTACCCCTGCTTTATAGAGTAGCACATCTAAGCCTTTTAGAAAACATGCAAATACAAACAAACGGACGGACGGGTCCACCCTTTGGAATGGGGGTCGTTTTGTTTCTTTGTCAGCCTGCAATGCCCCATACCTGTCTATGTCTCTGAAAGGGGGTAGTTAAATGGAATTGTTGGCCTGGCTGAATAGGTGAGGTCTTCTGTTCCCCTGGAAAGGGTGTGGGGGTTAAAACAGCTTCCTATATGGGAAGCTAAACATCTTCAAACTTGGAAACAAAGTCCAGTGGATTGTTTTCTAACTTCTTTGGAATGACTATGACCTGGATGACTTAAGAATCCTCACCAGCAGATTATACAGTAGCAGCCATTTGAAATAGTCCTTCCCAGTCAAAAGTACGGTGGCTGAGAAGTGCAAAACACATTTACAATTAAAAAACACATTAACAAATAAAAAACAAAATAACATTTGAAGAAACAAAATTATATTTTATGAAACAAATGTATTTTTGAAAAAAAAAAGTTTAAATTTTTAAAAACAAATATACATTTTAGGAAACAAATTCACATTTTCACATGAAGCAGGAGGACTACAGATTGAGCTGTTTGTACTACAAGTCAGGGTAATCGTGACGTCACATCCGGCCACTGGGACATTCCCTTTCCGTGTAGCCGTCTTTTGTTAATTTGTTTTTGGCTATGTAACTGTGTTTTGCCACTTGCAGTTTTGTCTTTGCACTTGTACAAGTGTTTCCGAACGGTCAATTATTTTTTAGATGTAAATTTGTTTCCCTATAATGTATTTTTTTTTTCTCTAAAATGAAACTTTCTCTCACCTAAAATCGAACTGATTTAAAATGTGAATTTGTTTGCTAAAATGTAAATTTGTTTTTAAAAATTTAAACTTTTTTTTCAAAAATACATTTGTTTCATAAAATATAATTTTGTTTCTTCAAATGTTTTTTTGTTTTTTATTTGTTAATGTGTTTTTGAATTGTAAATGTGTTTTGCACCGTACAAAAGCCAGCCGAATGGCAGCAAAATCCCCTCCAACTTCCAGCCACGTTCACTGAATTACAGGGTCTGATGATGCTTCTCTTTAGATCTTGATGTCCACAAATCATGACAGAATATTTTAGATGTTTAAAAAGGAACTGTAGGGGACCAGGCAAGGGCCCATCAAGGAAAGTGGGGAAGTTTTGAATGGCTACTACTGTATATTTGTACTTCTGTTAGATTTTTCCAACATTTTAGTGTGAGATTATGCTTGAATACTTGAATACTTTTAGACATCTTTAGCAGGGGAACTCTAATTTGGAATAAAAAGCATCTGAGCGGACTCTACAGGTTCTCATAAATTTACATCTCAGCTAGCATGCTACCAGCCTCTAACTTGTACACCAGGCAGCCTGCTGCTGTCTGGCATCAGAATAACACACATCTGAGCTATTCTAACTAAAACTGATACTATTTCCATTCCTAGACGACTGCAGGTTGTGCCTAGATGTTAATCTGTCATTTAGAAATGTTCTGCTATAACTACAGATTTACTTGTCTCCACAAAATCAGTTCATTTGAATATTTCTGGTTTATTTTAACAATTGAATCTTCTCATACCCTACAGAGTGGACCCCTGTTTTATGTGAGTAACATTGAGTTTCTCAGATTTCCCTGATTAAACATGAAAGGGGTGCTTTCCTCACTCTGCTGCTGCCTGCTTGATATAAAAACTCTATAAACTGTTAGACTTCAGGACTGGATGTTTTCTACCTTCCTTCACCGGCTGTGTTGCATGCATTGCTTAAATCTCACTCGGTTATTTTCAACCTTTTATTATTATTTTTTTTAAAGGAACAGCTGACTCTGTGCAACGTCCTTTTGTAGAAACAAACAAAGAAGCTTTGTTCTACAAGACTTTTAACACTTTTCTTTATTATTAATCTCTCAGCGTTCATAGAAAGGATCACCATTCCATCCAGCATGTTCGCATAACCTGTTTGCTTCTTCCTGATTCTAAACTTCCAGGTTTCTTTAGCAGTAATTGCTGTAGCATCAAGCTCCCTTAAAGTTGTAGGGAAGTCATATTTAAATGTCAACTCATTCTGGCTTAAACGTGTATATAAATCTACTCTTTATCAGACCATATTGTCCCAAAATGTAGAAAATTTCTATAAAAAAAAAAGAAAATCCTTACTTAAAATCTGTGTTTTTTTCTCGTTATATTATGCAGGCCAGTTAGTTCTACGTCAGCCTGAACACCTAAATTCGGCCAGTCATATCAACGGTCATCTCTCAATCTTATTTTTCGGTCATAGCATCTTGATTCATATGTCGCAGCTAATATACGCAACGGTTGAAATCAGAATCCTTTCCTTTCCCATTGAGTTGCGTCCCAGTGTTCACGGGGATGGACGTCTGTGTCTTCGGCAGGCGTAGAGCTAACAGAACTGGCAGCGTTGTGAGGCAAGGGCTCAAACATGTACGGCTGGAAGCCTTCTACACCAAACCAAGCTTCTGCCGCCCTGGCGTCCTCTTCCACAACATCTTCATCCCCGCTTTCCTCCTCTAAATAAAAAATGGATGACGGAGGAGACTCATCCACGACCTCCGACACTAAACTCTCCTCCTCTTGCATGTTTCCGCTGTCCATAGCGTTCCTTGACAGTGTCGTTTCTAAGTCACCAATTTAGTGCTGCTTGGTCCCAATGGAATTTCCCATTGGGAACCTGCTAGCACTAAGTTGCTAACTGGTTAGCAAGATGCTTCTGACAAACCGGCCAAAACCAAAATGCTTGCAAACCTTCCGCCACAACAATCCTGCCCCCTTGATAAACGACCAATCACATTCACTTTATTTACTTGTGTAAAGTCGTGCACCACTCGGAGAATTCGGAAATGCAACGGTCAGAAAAGCTGCTTTCCTATGACACATCACATTGACCTGTACACATGACACTGACTTCGCTACGAAAGTCAGTGTCATTGGTACACTTTTATTTACAAAGCCCTTCTTGGATTACTGCCCTCTTACATTTGTACTGTACACAGAAAAGCATGGCTTCTTCTGCCCTTAGATGCAACGATCAGCTGTTGCTAACTTCACTCGTATTAAGTCATGCACCACTCAGGAGAATTCGGAAATGCAACGGTTGGAACGGCCGCTTCCCTACGACTTTAACCTGCTTCATTGTCTTAAGTTTAAAGGGCTCCAGGTTGTCCAACACCCTGCTGATAGAAACACAATGAAAAATAACCACTTAAAGTATTTAATGCATTTTACATAAACATACTTCTTTTTGGACTTTTGATTAATGGATGGAAATTACTTATACAAGATTTACAGGTGCTGGTCATAAAATTAGAATATCATGAAAAAGTAGATTGATTTCAGTAATTCCATTTAAAAAGTGAAACTTGTATATTATATTCATACATTACATACAAACTCATATATTTCAGATGTTTATTTTGTTTAATTTTGATGATTACAAATGACAACAAATGAAAATCTCAAATTCATCATATCAGAAAATTAGAATATTGTGAAAAGGTTCAAAATTGATGGCCCCTGGTGCCCCACTCTAATCAGCTAATTAACTCAAACCACCTGCAAAAGCCTTTAAATGGTCTTTTAGTCTAGTTCTATAGGCTACACAATCATGGGGAAGACTGCTGACTTGACAGTTGTCCAAAAGACGACCATCGACACCTTGCACAAGGAGGGCAAGACACAAAAGGTCATCGCTAAAGAGGCTGGCTGTTCACAGAGCTCAGTGTCCAAGCACATTAATAGAGAGGCGAAGGGAAGGAAAAGATGTGGTCGAAAAAAGTGTACAAGCAAGAGAGATAACCGCACCCTGGAGAGGATTGTGAAACAAAACCCATTCAAAAATGTGGGGGAGATTCACAAAGAGTGGACTGCAGCTGGAGTGAGTGCTTCAAGAACCACCACACACAGACGTATGAAAGACATGGGTTTCTGCTGTCGCATTCCTTGTGTCAAGCCACTCTTGAACCACAGACAGCGTCAGAAGCGTCTTGCCTGGGCTAAAGAGAAACAGGACTGGACTGCTGGTGAGTGGTCCAAAGTCATGTTCTCTGATGAAAGTAAATTTTGCATTTCCTTTGGAAATCAAGGTCCCAGAGTCTGGAGGAAAAGAAGAGAGGCACTTCATCCACGTTGCTTGAAGTCCAGTGTAAAGTTTCCACAGTCAGTGATGGTTTGGGGTGCCATGTCATCTGCTGGTGTTGGTCCATTGTGTTTTCTGAGGTCCAGGGTCAACGCAGCCACATACCAGGAAGTTTTAGAGCACTTCATGCTTCCTGCAGCTGACCAACTTTTTGGAGATGCAGATTTCATTTTCCAACAGGACTTGGCACCTGCACACAGTGCCAAAGCTACCAGTACCTGGTTGAAGGACCATGGTATCCCTGTTCTTAATTGGCCAGCAAACTCTCCTGACCTTAACCCCATAGAAAATCTATGGGGTATTGTGAAGAAGAAGATGCAATACACCAGACCCAACAATTCAGAAGAGCTAAAAGCCACTATTAGAGCAACCTGGGCTATCATAACACCTGAGCAGTGCCACAGACTGATCGACTCCATGCCACGCCGCATTGCTGCAGTAATACAGGCCAAAGGAGGCCCAACTAAATACTGAGTGCTGTACATGCTCATACTTTTCATGTTCATACTTTTCAGTTGGCCAACATTTCTATAAATCCTTTGTTTTTATTGGTCTTCAGTAATATTCTAATTTTCTGATATGATGAATTTGAGATTTTCATTTGTTGTCATTTGTAATCATCAAAATTAAACAAAATAAACATCTGAAATATATGAGTTTGTATGTAATGTATGAATATAATATACAAGTTTCACTTTTTAAATGGAATTACTGAAATCAATCTACTTTTTCATGATATTCTAATTTTATGACCAGCACCTGTATACCTTCAGCTGTAAAGAAAGGATCCTTAGAGCTGCAGTAGGGCAAGCAGGAATTTGCCTTTCGGCTGCTTTTAACAAAAAGTCTTAAAAGGCATTGAATTCTTCAAAATAAAACTAAGGCCTTAATTGGTATTAAAATATCTTAAATTAGTCTTACGTAAGTCTTAATTTTTAAAACATCATCAATAGGATTATTTTTATTACGATTTATTTTTGTAATTTAAATAAAACATTAAAATTGAAAACATTTAGGAGATGCACCATTAACTTTTTGTCTGGAAAATATGAGCAAGTGTAAATGTAACCAAAATTGTCTCCAGCCAAGAGTTTCCTCCATGGCTAAAACCAGGGAACATACATGAGGCTCAGTGGATTTAGTGCAAGAAGTCATTCAAGCTCAGAACGATGGGAATTAAGGCAGTGGAGTCGCACATGCGAAGCACGAAACACAAAGCGTTAAAATGGAGTTACAGAGAAACAGCCGGTATTTCTCAGTTTAGTTCCACCCTTGTCTCTGCAACGCCTCCACTTATCACCAAATCAAACATACTAAGAAAACCATACAAAGAAAAATAGCTGCAAAAAAGACTTAGCACTGGTTATGTTGGGGCTTTAAAACTGATTTGTTTTGTTCCCTGCTAAAACAAAGTTTGTGAATTCAGTTAAATAATTGTTCAAATATATCTGTCATTTGTGTGTTTTTAGCTTTCTTCCTGTATGGGAAGCTTTTCAACATTTGAAACATTAGTGCAGTGGTTTATGTTAAAATAAACTAGGGCTGCAACAACGAATCGATAAAATCGATAAAAATCGACTTTTAAAAGCGTTGGCAACGAATTTAATCATCGATTAATTGTGTCGCGCGATTAATGCGTCATCCGCCGCCGCCGTCATCACATCCACTTGACTGAAACGGGGGAAGAAAAAAAATACGGCAGAGCGAGTCAGCGCTGCAGGTGCAGTGTTGCCAACTCAGCGACTTTTCAGACCCCTCCAGCGACTATTTTTCAAAAAAGCGACTAGCGACAAATCTGGCGACTTTTTTCGGTGTCACTGGCGGCTTTTGGAGACTCTTACCTGAAAGCATGTATTGTTCCTACTCTGCCGTGGGGCGCCTCCCACCGCTCCCGCAGGAATCCCTCTCAGCGCTGCAGTCAGAGCCGCAGGATGTTTACCCTCAGCATCGAGACTGCAAATGAAGCACGCATGCACCGGGATTGACGGCGCAAATTGATCACAATAATTAAAATAGCCTGCGCTTTGTACAGTGAAAAAAGTCATAACATGCAACTTTTGTAAAAACAAATTAACATGGCACGGAACCACCATGTTTGTTTGGTTTTAAAGTGGGGAAACGTAACGTTAGTTTCTCAGGTAGCTCATCTGATGCTTTCCTTACCGTGTTAGTAGGTTACAGACAGTGATAAGGTTGGCTACTTATTTTACTTTTAATTTCATTTGAATTAGCTTAAGCAGCGTTTACATTTACTTTATAAATAAATTAACTTGCAAATTATGAGGGCAAGACTTTTAAAGTTTAAATCTTCTGGCAAAGATAAAGTAAAGAAGATCCTGTAATTTATGGAAGTAAAGCAGAATAAAATCCAGCAAGATCAGTAATATGTCAATTAATTATCTGCCACATTCCCATGTAAATATCTGTCTTTGGAGGATGTGTTTTTTAGCACCCCTAGTTCTCTCATTTTTATTCCAAATACAATTTATAATTTGAATCACAGGGCTATTTTTATCTCTATGGTTCAGTATTTTCTCAAGTAGCAACTTTAACTGCTATACTTTCCTGTCTTAAAAGGCAGAACTCTTCTAGTCTAAAAAAACTCATTTGTTGAAATGGGGGGCCTGTTGTTTGAACCCCTTAGGGGCTTTTAAAAACAAAAATGTCTTTTTTTGCGCTATATGAAACAAAGTACCCTATATTTTGTGGATGTACAGCTACATTTCTCATGTAAGTTTGCGTAGTTTTAACACAAACATTTATTTTTCATATTGCACCAGGACAGTTAATGAGCAACCTGTACTTGTGTGCTTGTTTGTTCTGTCTAAAATGTTTATTTTGGAATAAAGAGATTAATATAAAAAATATTTTTGTCCGATTCATCGATTAATCAAAAAAATAATCGGCCGATTCATCGATTTTTAAAATAATCGTTAGTTGCAGCCCTGATATAAACCTTTGGGTAAAGTTGTTGCAAGCAGGTTTTTCTTGTGTCTCTTGTGAATTTGGTCTTAAATTTTTAATTCAAGTGGCATTAAAAAGTCTTGAATTTAATTTGCCTTATGCTGTAGGAACCCTGGTCCAAAGTCAAATCCTTTAGATCTTTAGCCTTTATTGGTTTGAAGTTAAGAGCTTCACTGGTCCTCACTTTCGCCCATCTTAATCACTCATCATTGTAGCTCAAGCAGAACCTGCTTGGACTTCTCTGCATAATCATCTGCCCTAAATGAGTTTTCCACACGGACAAGTTCCTGTTCTTATTTCCCTTCCTTCTGGAGGGAAAAAAAAAATAGAATAACTTGGAATATTTTTCGGACCCGCGACCTCTGCAGCAGATGTTGGAGAGGTGAAAACGCAAACACAGCTCGGCTCTTCCTCAGCAGATTTAATGGGACAGTTATGACTGATCCGCTTTGGGTCTCCTAAATCTGTCCCAAAGTCCTGCTGCACAGTTTGCCAAGAAACCTGCTTTTTAAAAGAGATCTAGTTTTAGGAGTTCAGGGAGGAAAATGCATGAATCAAAAGGAGTGACAAGGCGTCTCAATAGGAGGGAAAACTATTTTTTTTCTTTTTTTTTTTACTGTTCTAGACCATTTTACTGTCGCTAAAATTCAGCCTCCTCATGAAGCTACCTGTGGAAGCCCACCAGTGTTAAAAACGTGCCCTCTGTTTCGCCCTACGGATGAAACGAGGTTTCCAGGGAAGGTTTTCTGCCATCATGCAGAACTACAGGCCTCTGCTTATGTAAAACAGAGTCCTCTGGTTTGAATTATCTGTCCCCTGTGGGCTGTACAGCTGCTCCGATGGAGTCCTGCTGCATTCCAGCAGCTCAAGATTTCACCCAAAAGCAGCCAGTCACACTAGTCGGCCAAACGCGGCATTAAATATCTCCCATCCCCAGTGAGATGCTGATGCCTCAGTTCTCCTTTCATGGAAAATGGCTTACTCAACCCTTCAGAGTGTGGAGGTCTCTCTCAGAACTGGAGAATGCTTCTTTTGCCACAAGAGGAGAAATATTCTCAGCCATTATGGATTCTCAGGCCGTCATAAAGTCCACAGTGAGGTTTAGATGGAAACGGAGAGGAAACACCTGTCAAAACAAGCCCCTAATCCATTATTTGTTTATTCAGCTTTTCTAAAATGTGCAGCTTGAATAAAAACACTGACCTCTGTCTGTTGTCTGATTAATGTGTGCTTAATCTGCTTTTATTTCAGCAGAACTTCATATTTAGAGATTTCATTCCTTGAATAACCACCAAATAATGCGCAGCAATACAAGAAATGAACAGATATGTTCATCTGATTTTCTTTATATCGTACATCCAGCACAGAAATACATTTTAGGAAATTTAGTTTTTGTTTTCATACTAAATAGGCTTTGAAAAAAGTAATTTTTGTTATTTATCAAAACTGAAGTTAAGCATTCATTTCAGGCGATTAAAAGTTTGCCTCATTGAGGACAGATAGACCCGGTATTCAAGGCGAGTCAGACAATGGGAAGTTCCAAAACGTTTAATGACAGAAACGATACAGAACAGAAACGCGGGCTGCTGAGGATAAGCGGACCGCAGTGGATGCAGAAGGGGAGCGGGGCTCTGCCCGATAACTTGACACCATGGAGGGAGAAACACAGGGAAGTGACCACGATCATTTGACAGAAGATGATTATCCGAGTGAGTCCCTTACCTGGTTTAGAGGTTCAGTCCATCCTCTTCGAGGAAGGCAAGATCCAACCGATGCCAAACAAGATGTGGCGCTGACCCATCTGAAGTGTCCCCAATGCAGCAACCCCATAGCCTCGTGAGAACATCCTGATCTCGCGAGCTTTCAAGGTTTCACTCGCTAATCAGTCTGGAGACTCTCCGTTGAAGAAAATTTGGAGCCGTTCACCAAACGAACGTCCAATCAGCGTTGGCTTTGAGGCGGGTTGAGGTGTGACGCAACGAGAAGCGTGACAGTTCAGTCTAAAGAACATGGCGGCTTCAGTCGATGAAACTAGTGTTAGCGTGGCTATCAAGCAAGTTTTATCGGAATTACAGAGTATTTCTTCACTGAAAGAAGAGCAAAACACTGCTCTGGAGGCTTTTCTCAGAGGAAAAGATGTTTTTGCTCTTCTCCCGACTGGTTTCAGCAAGAGTTTGATCTATCAATTGGCTCCTCCTCGTCGTCGCTCTGTTAGTACGTCATATGCTTCGTTGATCTGATTGGTTTATTTGGCCCGTCTATCACCAACATAGGCCAATCAGCTAACCAGTATTTTCGCCCGTTGCCAAAATTACTTCAACGGAAGGTTTCCAGATGGATATGCGGAGCAAATCCATCTGGTGGAGTCAGGTTAGCAACCCCGGTGAGCAGGCAGGAATCCGATCCAGGTAAGAGAAAGTTCAGAACTGGACAGTTCAGAGATCCAGGAGTCTGTAGACCGACCAGAGATTCTGATCCAAACAGGAACAGACGGATCCAGGGTTCCAGGAATCCACAGAGCGTTCAGGCAGGTTCAGAGTTATACGGGTCCAGCAGCGAGCTCAGACAGACACGCTCAGATTGAGACAGGCAGGGACAGTGGTAGAGAGGAACATAGACAAGATGTGATACCAGAATAATTGCCAAACTTTAAACTGGTCTCTACCTTGGAGCCAGGATTATGGGACTAAAACAGACTTTCCCCACTTTCCGAGCCAAAACCCCGATGGCTCAACGGAAAAGAGCTGGGACACAATCAGGAGACAAACACCAAACCCTCTCAATTCACTGGCCTCCAAGAGTCAGGAAATGAACCAGGAACTTAACTAAAAACTTGAAGAAAAAAAAAAAACATAATACACAAAGAAGTAACACAAATACAAACGAATAATGATCTGGCCCCGATTGCAGGGCAGGGCGGTGTATATAACAGGGGGACCAGGTGAATAAGATAAATGATCATTAGAAAGCGTGGAGGGAACAGAGGTAATGAAGGGAGTAGTGACTTAAGCTATCGGTGCTGCGATCATGAGTTTGTACATGAATAAGACAGGAAAAGTTCATAGCAGAGGCATAAATAGTTGGGTAAAGAAATGTTGGACTAAAAGCTGATGATGCAACAAGGCTTTGTTGGGCTACCGTATAAAGCGTCAAACTCAACGCTATTTCTGGCATTTTGAAATGAAAAAGCTTCCTGGATGGGAAGTAGGGATGCCCGATATAATTGGCCCCCTATCGGTATCGGCCTTAAAACTGAATATCGGACATCGGCCACCCCACCGATATTTAACCCGATATTTGATCAGCTTCTGAGTTTCTAAAGTCTAAAAAAAAAAAAAAATACTACTTCTTCTTCTTCCTCAAAAACTTCTTTTTTACGGACTTAAAAACTTCTAAAGACGAGGGGAAAAATATTGATCCATTAAAATATCCCAATATCTTCATATGCTGATATATTGCCATTTAAAAACACCATATCAATCTCTTTTACTAATGAAACATTGCTATATGTCATCGTTATGCTACGAAATCCCCCGAAAATTCACCAAATGTTGCCATATTTTTATATGTTGATATATTGACGCGGTATCAATCTATTTTACTAACAAAATCTCACAAGAATTTGCGAAAATCACGAGTTTGTAACAGAACGATGAAATTTCACGAGATTTTGAAAGTAAAATAAATCGATGCTGCATTTTTAAAAATCTATTTGATATCAGCATATGAAAATATATTTGAGTATATTATTTTTCAAAGTGTCAGAAATGGAGAACAAAACTGCTATTTTCAATGACTACTTATTTTTGTCCAGCTTTAACATCGGTATCGATATCGGTCATCGGCTACATGAGTTTTAAAATATCGGCATATCGGATATCGGCCAAAATCCCAATATCGTGCATCCCTAATGGGAAGCAAAACGTCTTCAAATTTGAAAACAAAGACTGAAAATCTTTACCAGCATAGTTCTGATGTCACTTCATCTTATCAGGTAAAAAAAAGTAGTTTTGAAACTTTGTTTTTTATTTATCTAAATCGTTTTTTTTTTTGGACCTTTGGAGCTCTGTTTCACTCATTATAGGTCTGATTGCTCATAGACATTTAGTAGCCCTCTGGGTTTCTCTTCGGACGTTTAATCGTGATTCTTTATAATCTTCTCCCTGGCTCTTTTCACTTCACCTCCATAACAATAGATTCAGTGAAATCTGCTGCTTGGACCTCCTCACTGCTGTCTCTGCATGTCTGTTTCTCCCGTCTGTGAAACGTAGTCTGTGATTTTTTACTCTGCTGACCTCACGCAGCCTTGGGTGACTTGGTGCTTGTGTGTATTTTTCAGGGTGAACTGGAACGCCAGCTTCTTCAGGCCAACCCCATCCTGGAGTCCTATGGCAACGCAAAGACTGTGAAGAACGACAACTCGTCGCGTTTTGTGAGTTAAACCTATTAGATACAATCCGGTCTGATATGAGAGTCATCAGATCTGCTGAAGCATTAGTGAGAGTCTCATTCGTTTGATATTATGTAAATGCAGAAAGCGGTTCCTGCATGTCAGTAAAGAAGCCTGCTACTTTATAGCAGAGTCATATAATAAAATATGTAGTGGGAAATATCAGTAATGCACTCACAGAATAAAAAGTTGTGCACCCCAGACAAAGTGGCGGCAAAGAAACTAAAGTGCAAATGTTGCAGGTTTAATAATCTATGGCCTTTGGCTAGAAAACAGTGGCTGCAGAATGATGGGAGGTAGAATCATGCTCTGAGCCTTCAGTTGGATCAAAAGCACAGATAGTATGTCCAAGGTATTTATACTTAGGTTAAATTTCTCCAGCCGACTCTGGTGTTTCCTAACCTGACTCTGCCAGATGGATTTGCTACGCATATCCATCTGGAAACCTTCCGTAGAAGTAATTTTGGGAAGGGGCGAAAATACTGGTTAGCTGATTGGCCTATGTTGGTGATAGACGGGCCAAATAAACCAATCAGATCAACGAAGCATATGACGTACTAACAGAGCGACGACGAAGAGGAGCCAATTGATAGATCAAACTCTTGCCGAAACCAGTCGGGAGAAGAGCAAAAACATCTTTTCCTCTGAGAAAAGCCTCCAGAGCAGTGTTTTGCTCTTCTTTCAGTGAAGAAATACTCTGTAATTCCGATTAAACTTGCTCGATAGCCACGCTAACGCTAGTTTCATCGGCTGAAGCCGCCATGTTCTTTAGGCTGAACTGTCACGCTTCTCGTTGCGTCACACCTCAACCCGCCTCAAAGCCAACGCTGATTGGACGTTCGTTTGGTGAACGGCTCCAAATTCTCTTTAACGGAGAGTCTCCAGACTGATCTGCGAGTGAAACCTTGAAAGCTCACGAGATCAGGATGGTCTCACGAGGCTAGGTGTTTCCTACAGCCTAAGCGTTTGACACTAAACCGGTTCTGTGCATCTGCTGGCCTTTGATCAATAAGTTGTCCTCCCAATTGTCAACCATTCTGGTGATATGTTTACGTAAGGCCGTCCTACGTGCTCGCCCCGTTAGCTATATTTTTTTGAGTATGCATACTTTCAGGCGTATATCTGTGGTGAGCTACGGTTTCAGACAGTCGTTGAAGCTCACCCTTCTCACCGTGGTTCTTTGAAAATGGCAGAGGGTCGTAAGAGAAAAAGTGCCTAAAAATGTGACGTGTCAGTTTCTGATACGGACAACTAAGCATCCACCTGGTGCAACACATAGACTCATGAGCTATAAGAAGAAGGAGATGACCTTGTTCATGGCTCAATCTTTGCTGCACGCTCGCGGACGTAATTTTTGAGCCCACAGCTGTGCAAGCTCCAAGCATTTTCTCTGTCCTGTAACGACCTGATCTGGAATAAACTCTGTTATTTTTTACTCCTGTTTTATAGTCCTTTTGTATATGGTTTTACCCAATTTAAGTTAAGAGTAGTAATTAACTTGCTCTCAGGAAAAGAACTGTGACGAAGCCCCGAGGCGCAACGGCTTTTTTAGGGGACATAACTTCCTCATTTAACAGTTACTTTTGCGGACGTGTCCATACATCAGATCGTCATCTGTTGGATCGATGCATCGATACAAAACAATTATTATTTACACCCCTAGTAGGCCTTCACTGCTAGCTTGAACAGATATAGATATATTAGTCAGTTTGTTAACCAGATAAATTCCGTTATTGGTATAGTTTTGTTTATGGAGGATTTCTGCTCCAAAGTTTAGACCCGGAATGTGATGATGTGTCATCATCAGGACCTTTTTTTTACGGTACATTAGTCAGCGATGGTTTTGTCTTTCTCTGTTTTAACCTGATCTCTGTGTTGATCTCTGCAGGGGAAATTCATCCGGATTAACTTTGATGTTGCTGGATACATCGTGGGAGCCAACATAGAAACCTGTATCCTGTGTTTTATTTCAAATGTTCAATTAACGAGCCTAAGGAATTTATATTTGTCTACCTTCATTTACTTTAGCTCTTACTTCATATTAACTCGATCAACCCTAAGGTCTGCCAGAACTACCCTCTTCCTGCTGGTAGTTCGTGGCTCAGCGAACTACCAAGTCTTTAGTTATTAAAAAGATTTACTTTTCCTGACTGTCCTGCGTCAGACCTGTTGGAGAAATCCAGAGCTATCCGTCAAGCCAAAGATGAGCGCACCTTCCACATATTTTACCAGCTGCTGGCAGGAGCTGGTGAGCACCTCAAATGTGAGTAAGAACATTATAAATGATGAATAAAAAAGAATCTATCCATCTTCTTCCACTAACCAAGATATGTCCTCAATATTTTTTGTTTTGTTTGTTTGTTTGTTTTTTTTGTGGTGCGCCAATTCTTTAGGCAAATGTTTCTTTTTTTTCCTCCAATCTTATGATAGTATTATGTAAAACACGTATAATAAAAGAATTACAACTAAAAGAAACATTGATCAACAAATGAAACAAAACCCTGGCAGTAGATGACAAATGGAGAGAGCTTCAGTAAATGCATCATAATGATCTAAGACAGGCCTACTGGATCAACTGGTGATATATCCGTCTATCCCATGTTACGTTTCCATCCACATAGGGGCACAATGAGATTATTTAACCAAATGAAACAAATTTGAAAAGAAAGGTAGACACTTGCATGCAAACAATAAAAATTTTTTTGCTTAAATGCAACTAAAAGTTGATTTTGAGCTTAATTCCTCTTAAAAATAGGAAGCAAATGAGTCCTAAAAATAATAATAAATAAAAAAAAAATTTATTTAAAGTCGTAGGGAAGTTATATTTAAATGTCAAATCATTCTGGCTTAAAAATGTATATAAATGTACTCTTTATCAGACCATATTGTCCCAAATTTTTTTTTTTTTATAAAAAAAAAAAAAAATCCAGTCTTAAAATCTGTGTTTTTTTTTTTCGTTATCTTCTGCAGGCCAGTTAGTTCTACGTCAGCCTGAACACCTAAATTCGGCCTATCAGATATATTAATGATCATCTGTCAATCAAATGTTTTCAGTCATAGCATCTTGATTCATATGTCGCAGCTAATATACGCAACGGTTGAAATCAGAATCGTTTCCTTTCCCATTGAGTTGCGTCCCAGTGTTCACGGGGATGGACGTCTGTGTCTTCGGCAGGCGTAGAGCTAACAGAACTGGCAGCGTTGCGAGGCAAGGGCTCAAACATGTACGGCTGGAAGCCTTCTACACCAAACCAAGCTTCTGCCGCCCTGGCGTCCTCTTCCACAACATCTTCGTCCCCGCTTTCCTCCTCTAAATAAAAAATGGATGACGGAGGAGACTCATCCACGACCTCCGACACTAAACTCTCCTCCTCTTGCATGTTTCCGCTGTCCATAGCGTTCCTTGACAGCGTCGTTTCTAAGTCACCAATTTAGTGCTACTTGGTCCCAATGGAATTTCCCATTGGGAACCTACTAGCACTAAGTTGCTAACTGGTTAGCAAGATGCTTCCGACAAACCGGCCACAACCAAACTTGCTTGGGAACCTTCCACCATAACGATTGATAATTGACCAATCGCGTTCACTTTATTCACTCGTGTAAAGTCGGGCACCACTCGGGAGAATTCGGAAATGCAACGGTTAAAACAGCCGCTTCTACGACTTTAAGGAACCTTTGGCTACCCAGTTTTTTATCGATTAATTGAAAAAGTAATTGACAGATTAAGATGCTGCAGTCTGGTTCAGCTGGAGGGTCTGCTTGTTGGTATTTCTGCTTCTGTCTTCTTGCACATCCATGTTTGTTCAGCCGCTGCTGCATAATGATCTCCAGATATTTAAAACAATGCCTGTCTGTTTATCTCTTCTCAATACCAAAAAAAAATTAAATAAAAAAATAGCTTCCAGCTGTGGCGCCCGTTTATGATTCTAGAAGCTTTGACCCACCTGGCCAGCAGAGCCTGTAGCTCCTCCTCCTTTTTGGCCAGCTGCATCTTCAGCTCCTCGATCTGTGCCTGCAGCTCGGCGATCTGATCCTGCAGGTCGGTGGTCTCAGCATCCAGTTTGCGTTTGGCCTTTTCCAGCTCCTGTCGCGTTTTTTCCTCCTTCTTTAGACGCTCTGTGGAAAGATCACAACCGTAAACATCCAACCAGTTGAAATACCGAGAGTGGAACCAGAGGACACTTACCCTCAAGATCAACCATCATCATCTCCTGCTTGTTTTTGACTTTGCTAAGATTCTTCGCCTTCTCCTCTTCCTCCGCTAGCTGCGAGCTCATCTCAGCAATCCTGTCGTCCAGCAGTTTTTTCTCCTGTTGGGCACGAGACCAAGAACAAATGAAATGCGCTTTTGAGCTTTTACCGTTGGGCTGAGACGTCTTCTTTTTTTTTTTTTTTTTTTTCGGTCATAGCATCTTGATTCATATGTCGCAGCTAATATACGCAACGGTTGAAATCAGAATCGTTTCCTTTCCCATTGAGTTGCGTCCCAGTGTTCACGGGGATGGACGTCTGTGTCTTCGGCAGGCGTAGAGCTAACAGAACTGGCAGCGTTGCGAGGCAAGGGCTCAAACATGTACGGCTGGAAGCCTTCTACACCAAACCAAGCTTCTGCCGCCCTGGCGTCCTCTTCCACAACATCTTCGTCCCCGCTTTCCTCCTCTAAATAAAAAATGGATGACGGAGGAGACTCATCCACGACCTCCGACACTAAACTCTCGTCCTCTTGCATGTTTCCGCTGTCCATAGCGTTCCTTGACAGCGTCGTTTCTAAATCACCAATTTAGTGCTACTTGGTACCAATGGAATTTCCCATTGGGAACCTGCTAGCACTAAGTTGCTAACTGGTTAGCAAGATGCTTCCGACAAAACAGCCACAACCAAACTTGCTTGCAAACCTTCCACCGCAACAATCCCGCCCCCTTGATTATCGACCAATCACATTCACTTTATTCACTCGTGTAAAGTTGGGCAACATTCGAAGAATTCGTAAAGGAAACGTTTGGAACAGCCGCTTCTCTACGACTTTAAGCTTTTTGGAACGTCTTTGTTTCTGCATGACTAGACACAGAAATATATTCAGAAACCATTTAAAACAGGAATGAAGATTTGATTTGATTTTAACCATGCATATGGTAACTTTAATTGTTTGAATAATGACTTACATACACTTTATCTCTGCTATGCCATGTAGTTATTATTCATAGAAGTTCTTTTGTTATGAAAGTAGCATAACACAGTTTGTAACCTTGTTAGTTTTATTCTCTCCTGTTTTATTTGCTTGGATCTAATATTTTCTGACAAATTTCTAAACATAAATGTTTTCCCTGGGGATACCAGTCTATTAAATACATTATTTTTCCATGTACTCGTGTAAAAATGAGAGACTGAAGGGCTGGTTTGTCGCAGATATGTTTGATTCATGCCCACCAATAATGAAGCGTGGTCTGCGCTATGTTATTCCCCGCCACAACGCAAGAGGCACATTCAGGAACTACACTGCAAAAACGATCTAGAATTAAGTAAAATTTTCTTAAATTAAGTGCATTCACTCTGAATTTGAGTAGGTAAATGAGAGGGTTTGCCAATGGAATGAGTAATTTTACTCTTAAAATAAGATAATTAGATAATATGCACTTGAAATAAGACAATGCAATTGGGTTTTCTTATTTTAAGTGTAAATTGTCTTTTTCCATTGGCAAAATGTCTTTTTTACCTCCTCAATTCAAGAACAAATGCACTTATTTTAAGAAAAAAATGACTTATCTAGATTTAGATTTTTTGCAGTGTAGCTGTGGGTTTAGATAGGGCCGAGGCGGTCAGGAAGTGGGGGCAAGGTTGTGCGTAAACGGGGGAACATCAGGGGCGGATCCAGGATTTTTCAAAGGGGGGTGCGCACCTAAGGGTCATGGGGTCAAGGGTCACAGGTCAAGACTATGTGAGGCTAAAAGACCAAAGAATACCATCTTCACTCTTTCACGCTACCCTAATTATTCATCCAAGGGTTTATAATTGATAATTTTAATGGATGAACATAAGTAGAATTAGCATGATTACATTATTGTAATTAAAAAAGGATCTCTCGGTTTTTAAAGCATGCACAAGGTTAAAAGGTAGTTTGAAGAAAAAAATTATCCTTATCAACAATTAATCAAACAAGGAGTTTCTTTATTTCCAGAAATGATATTTACACAGAACATTAAATAAAAAAAAAACAAAAAACAAGGACTTGGGTTCAAGTATGGTTCAAGTAAGACAAAGGAGTTTTGAATATATTTTAACAAGATAAACTGTTGAAAAAAAAAAAAAAAAAAAAAAGTTAAACCAGACAAAGAATATTGTTCTCTACTACAAACTTTATGATGATGATAATGAATTTACAAATGTCAACCTTCTGGGATGCTTCTGGGCAAATATGTCTATGATTTTGTTGATGTCTAACTGAATGTCTTTGTGCACATACAAAAGTAGCAAAGCCACAAACCTTTCCTGTCCCATTGTTGACCTCAGCAAAGTTTTCACTGCTTTAAGACCCGACTTAGCACTTTCCACAGAAGCACTGGTAAAAGGTATGACTGACAGAAGGTGAAGAATCATATAAATGTTTGGGTAGCACTTCATATTTGTTATCTTTAGAATTTCAGGGAGAGAGCTGGGTTTTTCTAGCCTGGGTGCCAGTCAGAACTTAGTCCCGCCCACAAGGTTTGAGTTCGGGGAAGTTCGGTCTGGCTCTGCTCCATAGTAGCGCTAGTATTAAAGCCCACTGTCAGGCGATCCAATCAAATTGTCAGGGTGGACTTTATACGATGATGGACAGATGATCAAGAGTAACGTAATCAACCACGTGACCAAAGCGCGCTAGGGTGACAACAATAATGGCTGCCGCTGGAGAGTTTGGGTGAGTAGATTCTGCTATTAGGTCTGTTCTAGAAGATATCGACAGCAAATTAATTTTAAAAGAGGAACAGAGAAACGCGATCAAGTCTCATCTTCTTATTCTAGGCGTGAAACTGCACGCTTTGATTTTTGTGGACAACAACTATGCCTCGCTTAACATACGTCACGCACTCCGTTGCTCTTATTGGTTGTAGGTCTATCCAATTGAGTGCAGAGGCATTTTTTTCCCTGGTTCGTTCAAAACACGCCCCATAATCACAGCTCTATGGAGCAGTATCAGACTCATATTCTGACTAGAATTGAGTCGGACTACGCCAGGCTAGGGTTTTTCCACTGATGACCACTTTGTGTGCCACAACTTCACTTCCTGCCTGAATGTTGATCCTGACGGTAGATCATCTTTATATGATGTAAAAATGATAAAAAGTCATACTTGTCCAGCCAGTCCCTCTGGCATGTTCTTTTGGTCACCCCACTGGCTCTTCGGTTGTCTTTAAATTCTCTGGCAGGGAAATTGAAAGATTTGGGTGGTTTTCTGGTCTGAAGAAGTTGGAATTTTCCAGAGTCGTCCATTTCACTAATCTGGTCCTTGGCCTTTGATATATCTGTAAGAAGATTGATATTTACATTGTCAATTTTGTATGGGTGCTGGTGGAGTTGTAAATCTGCCTACATGAAGATTTTGTATAGTCTTGCTTTATTATGAAATAATTATTATGAAATGTAAGATTTCAAGATTAAGCAAAAAAGTCAATCATGTAAAACAAAATTAGTTGTTTTGACATTGAAAAAAATACAACTATTACTAACCTATGTCATAAGTTGTTTGGGGCAAATCCGCTTGGTTGAGCGCCGGCTCTTCGGTTGTCTTTACATCGAAACACGGTCCTTGTTCATCTGGAAAAGAAAATTATTTTTGTGATCAGGTAAACCTTGTAATCTCAGGAGGAGCCACAAAACAATTTAATGTTGTGTTTTTATGGTAAATTATTAAATTCACTGAACACATATCACCAGGTGCACAAAACTGAATTTACTTAAAAGTAAATTGTATTTTTATTGTAAAATATTAAATGCACTGAAAACAAATAACACCAGATTTGTAGTTATCATATCACAATGTTAACAAGACTCCCTTAGACTCCAAGCATGTGCTTAGAGCATTCATTGATTTGGATCCTTACCAATTGATAAAAGTTAGTAATGTTTTCGTAAAGGACACCATTCTTATTTTTAACAGTACAACACATGTGGTACAGGTTTAGACCCAAAAATACACACTACAAAATAACTATTGTATACATGTCAATGGCAACTAATGTTGCTTATTTTTGTTAATTGTACACTCTTTTTATTACTTATCAAACACTGCAATTTTCATAACTTTCCCGTTACTGGTTAAAGTATTCCTACAATTGCATTACTTTGCAACTTTAAACAACTTGTTTATCAACAATCAACAATGTTGATAATGTTTTCTCATTATCAACATTTTCTAGCAATCATCATACCTTTTATCTGTGTGTCTCCAATATCTGAACGTTCATACTGGTCAACGCTGTGGTCATTTCTGTAGTTGTGCCAGGTCCACTGAAGAATAGAAAACAAGATATAAACATTTCAATCTGTGTTATTTAGATTATAGATATAAGCCTTTAGAAAATAAAGTGATAAAGTTGGTTTCTACTTACCCTTTTGTTGGATTGGACCAGAATCTTCAAAGAGATGGTTGTCTGGTTTTCTTGTTTGGCCTTAAATCTTCCAGGTCTCCTCGTGCTCGCAACGACGCTATTGTGGTATGGCAAGCCGATTGGGCCAATAATCGTCCGTACAATAACGCGCAGTTCCAACCCGTATTTTACGCGAGTGCGCGTTTTTTACGTCACCGCGCGTTTCCAGCCACCAGCCAGAACGCGCGGTGACGTCAAAAACGCGCGCTCGCGTAAAATATGGGTTGGAACCGCGCGTTATTGTACGGACGATTATTGGCCCAATCGGCTTGCCATATCCCAAAGGGGGGTGCGCGCGCCCCCCGTGCCCCCGCCTGAATCCGCGCCTGAACATGAAGGCCAAAAAGAGCGGGGATCCAGGTGGAAAAAGGGTCCCAGCGTTCTCTCGCACCTCGCTCTTCTTGCTGCTCCATCTTTATGAGTCATTTTCCACAATGGCGGTCATACAAACAAAACAAGGTACCAAACAGCAAATACCCATATGTAGATCTGACCAATCAGAGGCCTCCTGTCTGCAGTCACCTACAATTTTGGAGAGGTGCAGCAGAGTGTCTGCGGAGGGGGCGGGGCATATCTGCATTAACTGTGACACACGCAGACGACCTGGTTTCTGAGTATAAATCAGCCTTTAGACCTGGATTCTGGATCAGTTTTGGATATTGGACATTTAATGTCCATTCTTCTGTCCACAGCTGATCTACTTTTGGAAGGATTCAACAGCTACAGGTTCCTGTCGAACGGGAACATCCCGATTCCAGGCCAGCAGGACAAAGACAACTTCCATGAAACCATGGAAGCGATGCACATCATGAGCTTCGCACACGAAGAGATCCTGGGTAAGCAGAGTTTACTCTCATCCATATTTGCTGTTTTTAATTTTCTGCTTCTTGTTCAGAGGTAAGGGTAGATGACAGAGGAGTAGATGATTATTTTTATGAGGATCTTTTTAAATTATCCAAAACTGTTTGATCACAATCTGAACCTTAAGAATAAAGCTCCTGTCACACCTTGACGATTTGGACCAGCGCATGCCTGACGTACGGAAAATCTGGCAAAAACGCTGCTATACCTTGGATAAGTTAACAGCAGCGAGGTTAATGACATTTTTTTGTACAGAACGGGTGCATTGCTGCCCCCTTCAGGACACTGGCTTGTGCATTATTTCATGGGCATTACGCTGCCGTGTGTTATGCATAAGTTAGGCTCTCGTTGGACATAAATTCTGGACTTGTAATGAATACTCTGAATACTTATTATATGCCCCTGATTGGAAAAAATACATAGAAAGTTCAGCATATGCCAGCGTTTTAGTAGATTTTGGGACGCCAGGCATACGCTGGCTAAATCGGCAAGGTGTGACGGGGCCCTAACAAAGAAAGAAAGAGAAGAATTTAACGCTTTGAGACAGAACGCATGTTAGGGTGGATGGTTTAAGTTTCCAAAAATAAAGAAAAATAAATTAATGCTTGGAAATAAAGTATGTTTGATAGAGGATAATGTTTCCCCTCAGAAAAGAAGTTAAATACCTCTTATTCTATATAGGTTAGCGGGATGCTTCCTTACGTCAGTCTAAAGGCTGAAATGTTATGTGGGAAAAAAAATGATCAGAACTGATATTTTATGTGGATTTTGATATTTGCAGCTATGTTGAGGGTGGTTTCCTCAGTGCTGCAGTTTGGTAACATCATCTTCAAGAAGGAAAGGAACACCGATCAAGCATCCATGCCTGATAATACCGGTAGGTCCTTAAAAACTTACTACTCTCTGCCTATTTAATCATCCTTTGGTGTAGTTCAGTTTAAACAGCCTTAACATCCAGGTCAGTTTCCATTCAGTTTATTTCTATAGCACCAATTCACAAACATGTCATCTAAAGGGACTTTGCATTTTAACCAGATCATCCAGTCAAATTGATTCAAAGTTTTCTATCTAAGGAAACTGATTGACTCTTCAGCAATCCCTCACACTAAGCATTCTTGTAGCGACAGTGGAGAGGAAAATCTCCCTTTGAACAGGAAGAAACCTCCAGCAGAACCAGGCTCAGTGTGAGCGGCCATCTGCTGAGGCCGACTGGGGTTCAAGGAGACAGAAGCAGACATAGAAAAAGAAGCATAGATACAAAAGGCAACTGTCAACCAGCTCCACAGGCGGCCCCGTCCAGGAAACACACAGCCAGGCAGACGAGCTCCGAGCCAGCTCCCATGTCAGAGGATGAAGAGAGCACATCCAGTTAGTCACAGTCAGAGAAACAGGACTACACTGGAAAACAGGCCAAGCTCCAACATCTAGAAACAAAGGTGTTGATGGCAGCAGCACAGCTGATATTTCTCTCCAGGATGGAGTCACAGCCAAACAGCAACAGACCAGATGAAGCTACTATGAGAAAAAGCAGAGAGAGCAGAAGGTTAGAGATTGAACTAACAGATTCTGCAGAATAGGAGAATAGAGATAGAATGAAGCAGAATGATGAAAAAGGGGTCCCTATGTCCTCCAGCAGTCTAAGCCTATAGCAGCAGAACTATAGAGATAGATTAGGATAACCTGAGCCACTCTAACTAGAAGCTTTATCAAAAAGGAAAATTTTAAGCCTAGCCTTAAAAGTAGACAGGGTGTCTGCCTCACGGACATCCATCACCTTCATTCTAACCCTTAATTTACTACTCACTGTTATACATTGGCTAAGAATGATTGAGAAGGTGGAAAGAATATTGTTGGATGGGATGTTGACATGAATAATGTCGGAGTTGATGTTCTCCTGATGGAAATATTCTATGGCCTTCCAGTTTATCCATATTTGCTTTTACATGACTGCTAGAAATGATAAGTGTCCTGTACTTATATAGCGCCTTTTAAAGCGCTTTACACTACATTCATTCACCCATTCACACACACACTCACACACTGATGGTGGCAAGCTACATTGTAGCCACAGCTGCCCTGGGGCTCACTGACAGAAGCGGAGATAAAGTGATAGAAAGATAGAGTTATGCTAGAAGATAAAGTGATAAAAAAAGAGACAAGACACGACCAGATCTCCTAAATGCAACAACAGAAGGCAGAAGCAGAGCTGCTGTGTTTATTTTCAGTGTAGGGTAGAAGGATTTTAATATTATGAGATTTGAGAGAGCTTATTATAACAATAAAATAATATCAGTCAGTCAAAGTCAAACTATATTTATGATGATATGTATTTAACGAGGGTGAGTCCAGGGCCATTTCTCAATGTGTGGACTTGTGCGTTCTCATTTGCTCTTGAAACTACATCATCCTCAGCACTGGTAGTGTTCCAATTCCCAACAACAGCAGACCGAGAACGGACAAAGTCCCAGCATGTTGTTCTCTGCCCTCCCTCTTTACCCAGCATGCATCAGAGCAGACTTGTCTGTTCTTGAGACAGACAGCTGTCCCAGCATGCACTGCAGCAGCTTTCAGGTTAGCGCTCACAGAGCTCAGAGTATTAAGTTAAAACTTCTCTTTTCTGTTGCTGTTGTTCAATAAAAGTATGTTTTAAATCATTTAGGCAAGAAAACAATACTTTAAAGTGTCACTATATGGCCCATTTACTGATTTAGTGCATCATAAAAAATAATATTCCGATGTTTAGAGGACCGTGGCAACAAGCGGAACTCCGACGCTAACCACAGCCAGGGCTAACGTTAGCCCGTCTGCATCGGCCAGGGCTAATGTTACCCCGTCTGCAGCGGCCAGGGCTAACGTTACCCCGTCTGCAGCGGCCAGGGCTAACGTTACCCCGTCTGCAGCGGCCAGGGCTAACGTTACCCCGTCTGCAGCGGCCAGGGCTAACGTTACCCCGTCTGCAGCGGCCAGGGCTAACGTTACCCCGTCTGCAGCGGCCAGGGCTAACGTTACCCCGTCTGCAGCGGCCAGGGCTAACGTTACCCCGTCTGCAGCGGGCAGGGCTAACGTTAGCCCGTCTGCAGCGGCCAGGGCTAATGTTACCCCGTCTGCAGCGGCCAGGGCTAACGTTACCCCGTCTGCAGCGGCCAGGGCTAACGTTAGCCCGTCTGCAGCGGCCAGGGCTAACGTTACCCCGTCTGCAGCGGCCAGGGCTAATGTTACCCCGTCTGCAGCGGCCAGGGCTAATGTTACCCCGTCTGCAGTGGCCAGGGCTAACGTTAGCCCGTCTACCGCGGCCAGGGCTAACGTCAGCCCGTCTGCAGCGGCCAGGGCTAACGTCAGCCCGTCTGCAGCGGCCAGGGCTAACGTCAGCCCGTCTACAGCGGCCAGGGCTAACGTTACCCCGTCTGCAGCGGCCATGGCTAACATTACCCCGTCTGCAGCGGCCAGGGCTAACGTTACCCCGTCTGCAGCTGCCAGAGCTAACGTTACCCCGTCTGCAGCGGCCAGGGCTAACGTTAGCTCGTCTGCAGCGGCCAGGGCTAACGTTACCCCGTCTGCAGCGGCCAGGGCTAACGTTGGCCAGTCTGCAGCGGCCAGGGCTAACGTTGGCCAGTCTGCAGCGGCCAGGGCTAACGTTGGCCAGTCTGCAGCGGCCAGGGCTAACGTTAACCCGTCTGCAGCGGCCAGGGCTAACGTTGGCCAGTCTGCAGCGGCCACGGCTAACGTTAGCTCGTCTGCAGCGGCCAGGGCTAACGTTAGCTCGTCTGCAGCGGCCAGGGCTAACGTTACCCCGTCTGCAGCGGCCAGGGCTAACGTTACCCCGTCTGCATTGGCCAGGGCTAACGTTACCCCGTCTGCAGCGGCCAGGGCTAACGTTAGCCCGTCTGCAGCGGCCAGGGCTAACGTTAGCCCGTCTGCAGCGGCCAGGGCTAACGTTAGCTCGTCTGCAGCGGCCAGGGCTAACGTTACCCCGTCTGCAGCGGCCAGGGCTAACGTTAGCCCGTCTGCAGCGGCCAGGGCTAACGTTACCCCGTCTGCAGCGGCCAGGGCTAAAGTTACCCCGTCTGCAGCGGCCAGGGCTAACGTTACCCCGTCTGCAGCGGCCAGGGCTAACGTTAGCCCGTCTACAGCGGCCAGGGCTAACGTCAGCCCGTCTGCAGCGGCCAGGGCTAACGTCAGCCCGTCTGCAGCGGCCAGGGCTAACGTTACCCCGTCTGCAGCAGCCATGGCTAACGTTACCCCGTCTGCAGCGGCCAGGGCTAACGTTACCCCGTCTGCAGCTGCCAGAGCTAACGTTACCCCGTCTGCAGCGGCCAGGGCTAACGTTAGCTCGTCTGCAGCGGCCAGGGCTAACGTTGGCCAGTCTGCAGCAGCCAGGGCTAACGTTGGCCAGTCTGCAGCGGCCAGGGCTAACGTTGGCCAGTCTGCAGCGGCCAGGGCTAACTTTAACCCGTCTGCAGCGGCCAGGGCTAACGTTGGCCAGTCTGCAGCGGCCAGGGCTAACGTTAGCTCGTCTGCAGCGGCCAGGGCTAACGTTAGCCCGTCTGCAGCGGCCAGGGCTAACGTTAGCCCGTCTGCAGCGGCCAGGGCTAACGTTAGCCCGTCTGCAGCGGCCAGGGCTAACGTTAGCTCGTCTGCAGCAGCCAGGGCTAACGTTAGCCCATCTGCATCAGCCAGGGCTAACGTTAGCCCATCTGCAGCGGCCAGGGCTAACGTTAGCCCGTCTGCAGCGGCCAGGGCTAACGTTAGCCCGTCTGCAGCGGCCAGGGCTAACGTTAGCTCGTCTGCAGCGGCCAGGGCTAACGTTAGCCCATCTGCAGCAGCCCTCTCTCGGCATAGCTGTGTGTGAAGAACCTTATATTTTTGTTTTATTTGGCAAAATGTTTGTTTGATTTGTGTTTATCTGACTCTGTTAACTTTTATTCACCCACTAAATGAAAAAAGTAATTATTATTATTATTTAGAGACTATTAATAACAGGAGGTGAAATGCAGCTCCAGACGAGCTGAGCATGTGGTGATGTCATCAGTATGCTTCTGTTCTAGTTTCCATATTTATGCTGCGTGCTCCCGTTCTCCCAGAGTCCACACTTTCCGGTGTTCTTCTCAAGAACAGACTTGGCGAGGAAACGAGTCCGTACTCGTTGAGAAACAGCCCAAGTTTCTGTAAAGAGCTTCGTTTTCTTTTTAGTTTAAAGCTTCTTTATTTAGGTGTTTTTATTTTCTCTCTGTTGCCCAGCTGCTCAGAAGCTTTGTCATCTGCTGGGGATGAATGTGATGGAGTTCACCAGAGCCATCCTGACGCCGAGAATCAAAGTGGGAAGAGATTATGTCCAGAAAGCCCAGACCAAGGAACAGGTCACTGAAGCTCTCTCTTATTCTTAGATGATACTGATTCTCTCCTCCTGCATCGTCATGCTGTTCTGTTTTATCACCCGCAGGCTGACTTTGCTGTGGAGGCCCTGGCTAAGGCAACCTATGAGCGCCTGTTCCGCTGGTTGGTTCATCGTATCAACAAAGCTCTGGACAGAACCAAACGGCAGGGGGCCTCCTTCATTGGTATCTTGGACATAGCTGGTTTCGAAATATTCCAGGTGTGAATTTAAACCCTTCAATCTCCACAGTTTCAACCAAAACTCACTATTGCATTGATTGCATCCTATTTTCTTTTAGTTTACAGTCCTGCTTGTTTGTGTCTCTCCTCCTGCAGCTGAACTCCTTTGAGCAGCTCTGCATCAACTACACCAACGAGAAGCTGCAGCAGCTCTTCAACCACACCATGTTCATCCTGGAGCAGGAGGAGTACCAGAGGGAGGGCATCGAGTGGAGCTTCATCGACTTCGGCTTGGACCTGCAGCCCTGCATCGACCTCATTGAGCGGCCGGTTAGTGATACAGAAAAGCTTAGTATTGATAATGACTCAAACTTGAACAAAATGCTCCGTAAAAACAATATAAAAGCAGCGCCTCTATGATAGACCAACACAAATTAGAGCAGAATTCTAAAGTGAAAAGCAAAAAGATGCAACCTTGTAAGGTTGCAACCTCCTTTGTTGTCTCTCTCTGAATCCGTAGACTTATCTTCTTCAGTTATGGAAGGAAATCCTTCTAAAATAGTTAAAAAACAATCCACTGGACTTTTGCGTCCCATCCAGTAAGGGTGTGCAAAATAATCGTCATGACGATGCATCGCGATTTTAATTTTTGTGATCTACTGCATTGATTCTTGAAGGCAAGAATCGATTATAAAGAAATAAAATACATGAATGGTTGACGCACATCAGCCAAACCAAGTGGAATACAACTTCCAGTCCAGCAGATGTCGCTCCGGATGTTTTGACGCCCGCTGCTTTGTGTCACAAGCATGTCCGGCCGCGGGATACTGAGACGAGTCATTCGTAAATAAAACTGGAGGACACTATGAAAATTCGTCCCGCGGTTCCATCACATTTCAAGTCAGATGCTTGGATGCATTTTGGCTTTAAAAACAAAGAAGGTAAAAATTAAATTGATATGATGCACGTCATCTGCAAAAGGGGAAATATACATTTGAATGTTTTCGTTTCATTGGTTTAAAGGACCACTGAGGCCATGTAAACGGCTCTGATTATCCTTATTTTGTTATTTTCAGTTTGATGAATCCTAAGATCCTTTTGTCAGTGTGTCCACGCCAGTAATAGGATGGATCTTTTTCTTACAGTGTTCAGTGAAAATATCGCAATGCATCGCAATATTTCAAGTATCATGATGCATCGTGATAGAATCGCATCGTGGCATGTGAATCGTGATTCCGATCAAATCATGACTTCTTTGCCAATACCCACCCCTACCATCCAGCAAGTTTTTTCAATTCAAAATGTCAGATTTAGCGTCGAGTTGCTTTATACAGCAGCCCAACTAAGCCTTGATGGGCGGGGTCTTCTGTTCCCCTGTAAAGGTGATGGGGTTGCGATGATAGTTCTTCAGTGTGAATAAGGGGCTCCTGCTCTGGACTGATGTGGTGTCATTATTCCTCCAGGCGAACCCTCCAGGAGTGCTGGCTCTGTTGGACGAGGAGTGCTGGTTCCCTAAGGCTACAGACAAGACCTTTGTGGACAAACTGATCCAGGAGCAGGGAACGCACACAAAGTTCCAGAGACCCCGTCAGCTCAAAGACAAGGCCGACTTCTGCATCATCCACTACGCCGGCAGGGTACGCCTGTTTGCTGAATGCTTCTTCTTTCCTAAACGTTTAATTTATCAGAGAAATGTTTCATAGAAAAGCAGCTTTGTTTGAAATAAAGCTTCTGTTAGAGATCAGTGAAGCTCAACCTGATAACTTGAGTACTTTTCATTTGTTTTTGATCAGCTTTAATATCCTTATCCACAGACACATGTTCCTAAATGAGTAATTAGTGTTGAACAATGATGCAGAATCTCTGTGGATCCTGAGGTTTGGTCAGCACCTGTGAATTAAAACAAAGCGCTGGTTCTACAGGCAGACCCGCCGAGGTCCACATCTGTTCCTGTTTATGTGGCTGTGGGATTTACAACAGCATGTTGGAGAACAAAGCCAAATGTTGTAAATGTTATTAGTGGAGTTCTGCCAGACAAGGCCTCAGAAAGGTTAGATTTCTGCTAAGGTCAGTCTTCAGATGCATGTAAAGGAGGATTTATTGGGTTCTGTTGTTTCTGATGCAGAAGCCGTCTGCTTCGACGTGTTTGGTGGAACTGGAACAGGGATCATACCTGGGGAGGAAATTTCCTTCGATATATCCCTAGTAATTTAGTGACAGGACTCTAATTTGTGTTACCTCCCTTTAAAGGTGGTTTAGAGTTTGATATGGGTTGTTAACCTTCACAGTTTATAAAGCTGACTGACCCAAATAGGGATCAGAACCGCATCCAGCTGCAAGAAGCTAAATGACAGCTTCCTGCTTCCAGATGGTTCTACAAATAGGAGCAGAGCTGAATAAGTTTGCTCTCGAGGGAAATGATTTCTCTGCTTCTTAGTGTTGAAGAAATGACTCAGCTGACCATCTCAAAGAGCTTGTGCTGACGTTGCTCATCTCCGGAGAGGTTTTACCATTAGGCAATACTGTTGCCTAGGGCCCCAAGTTCCTGGGGGCCCCATAAAACTCTGTTTACATGTATGGTTCACTTCTTATGAAAAAAAGTACTGGTCATTACTCTCTCCGTTCTCAGGCTGTTGTCTTGTTTTCTGTCCCACGTGTCAGTACTGAGCTGGGTAAAAAGGCCTTTGCTTACTCTGCTCCCTTTACATGGAATTTGCTGCAAAATAACATGAAACTTAGTAAATTGGTTCCTTTGAATACTTTTAAGTTGAGAATTAGATGTTTTGAGTTAGACTCCCTCACATGTCAATGTTTTAATTGAAATTTTATTGTAAGTGCATATTTGGCTTTTATGTGTGTGTCTTTTATACATATGTAATGATGTGATGTAATTTTGATGCCTATCTTGGCCAGGTCTCCCTTGCAAAAGAGATTTTTAATCTCAATGGGTATTACCTGGTTAAATAAAGGATAAATAAAAAAAATAGATAAATAAATGGTTAATACAGCTATTCCTTATTTTTGCACGTTATGTTTTTATAAAAATGCTTTTGCTAAAATGCCATCAGAACGCTTATTATATTAAGTGTCTCAGCCCCCCCTTCAGTGTCCACCATATTGGATCAGTCCATTTGCTGCACATGTTCAGAAAGGTCCAAACAGACAGCAGCAAACCATTTGAAAACAAACCATGCAAAGAGCAGTGTTGCCAACTTAGCGCTTTAGTCGCTATATTTAGCCACTTTTCAGACCCCTCTAGCACTTTGATTTCTAAAAAGCTCCTAGCGCCAAATCTAGAGACTTTTTTCTGCTACTGGAGACTTTGGAGACAACATCTAAAAGCAGCGAACTCTGCTCTCCAGAGCGAGTAGATTGGTAACCCCGCCTCCTGCTCTCCTCTATCTTGTCTGCTGTCATGATTCATGCAGCTATTATTTCATCCAAATGAAAAATGGAGAACAGATAAGCAGATCATGGCTTGTCTACAGTGAAAAGAAGGACTGGGTTATTTACTTTGGCCTTTTTGGAAACTCAGGAAGGAGCAATCAGCTAAGTGAGCTTAGTGCTTGGAAAAAATCTTTCATTCCTTTAGAGACAGCATGAAAAGTCAGCTGAGTACAAAACATAGAGAGGAAGACAAGAAGAAAAGGGACAAGAAGAGAGGAACACAACCTAGAACAGATAATGGATGTCTATTCTATTAACATTTCTCTATCTGGAGAATGGCTCTGTTTTATGTGTTGTCTTCTCCATTCAGAGGGCCCCCTGCCTGTTTTTGCCTAGGGACCCACATTTCCTAAATCAGCCCCTGATCCCCTCCTGGAATAGTTTTATTCTGGGTCACTGATCGTCTCACTTTTTCGTCAGGAACTTCATTTTCTTTCTGATTGTCTTTTGTTTCCAGTTTTCTCTGAAAGGACCATTTGGTTCTGGGACGTGTTGGTTAGATGGAGGTGATGGTTTCTTCACTGGGTTGTAGCTCTAGATGCAAATTCACACGTAGTCAGAAGCCTGAACATAGTTTCTAAACACTTAGATTTTTGTTTGTGTTTTTTTTTATTTTTTTTTTATACACACAAAAATATTTAATATTTTATGCTCATGATTCACAAAGAGTTAAAAAAAAAATTCCATCATAAATTTATTCCATTTTAAAATATCCTTGAATGACTCAAACTGCTGCATATCATAAAAACATCATATAGTTACTTTACTTCTTTGCGTTTTACTAAATCAAAGGCTGTTTATTGTGCAGGTTGACTACAAGGCAGATGAGTGGCTGATGAAGAACATGGATCCTCTCAATGACAACGTGGCGACTCTTCTCCATCAGTCAACAGACAAGTTTGTGGCAGAGCTTTGGAAAGATGGTAATGTGCTTCTTATACGTCGCGTATTCCTTAAATCTTTATATAAATTAAAGATAAAAACATCTGTTGAATTTATGTGTTTGTAGCTTTCTGCTTTCTAACAGATCTGTGGAGAAATTGATTATTTCTGTTTTTGCTTTTTTTATCACTATCAGATGTTTGAGGTTATCTCAGTTTTTTTTTTTTATATCAAGAAAAATAACCAAGTGAAGAAAACATTTTTAAAGGATGTTTCTTTTTTTATTAACACTAAACCAGGCTGGTCCTGTGGGAGAAAGTTACTCCCTTTCAAACCAAATGAAGGGTTGTACCATCCTGACAGCCTAACTAGCATTAAATGCAGTGGGGGTTGGTGGAGTTTTCTCCGAGGGGGCTATAAATTCAAAATAGATGTAGACCAAAAACAAATCACACTTATACTAAGTTACGAAGTCAGTAAGCCAACAACACTTTATAAAAAAAACAAAAAAAGGTGGTTGTGAGCAAATACACTTCCTGTCACCTGAGGTCACAGCTCTCCTCCTCCACCTTAGGGCGAAAATACGCCACCAATCCGACGAAAAATTGCTGAAGCTTTACTATTCATTAAAGATTAAATATCTGTCTGCACATCTAAAAATATATATATTAACTTATTTAGAAAAATTTTAAATTTTAATTTAAAATTAATTGATAATAAACAAATTTTTTTTTTTATGTCTTAATCAGGGTCATTGGATGGGTGAGGTGTCGCCCTAGCGCCCTCTAATGGCCAGCCACCACTGATTAAATGTTAATGATAACAGCGGATGATCTTCTACAGCAGTGTGGAGGAATCTCGTTATTTAGGCATTCTATATGCTATTTCAGAACGAAAAGCCTCTTCTGTATGCATCTCAATTGGGGGTGGAACGGTTCACAAAATCCACGGTTCGGTTCACGGTTTGGTCCGGTATATGTTGATTGTTACCCCGAAATCACATAAAAAATTTATGAAATTAATGAAAAAATCCAAAAACATTTATGAATTGTAATTATTTTTAATGATCCGCGGAAACCCTGGATCATTTCCGTATGTTTTGCTGCTTTGAATTTAATCATCTGGCGCATGCTCTCTACGATCTCCAAGGAACTCAGAGCGGAGCGACGGGAGCCACAGTGGAGGCTGTATTCTTTGCTTTGAGCAGCCGGTCTGGAGCGCAGCGGGGCGGAGCGCTGACGGAGTATGAGGGATTTCAGGTCTAGCCTGACATGTTGGTCATGTTGCTGTTAGCATAAACAAAACGTGTTGCACAATGCTTGCACACTGTTGCACTTTTATCCACAGCTTTCTTCCCGCCGTCATCGTAGGTCGCTCTAAATGCAAAGTGGTCCCATACAGCAGACCTATAAAGTGCTGCTGGCGCGTCTTCCAACTCCTGTTCTTTCCCACTCGCCATACCCACACAATTCTCCACAACAACTGATTTTTTTCTGCTACACCCGGCTACGCTGCTTCGCTTCTTCTTCTTCTTGTTTACTACTGGTGGTTGGCTTTGGTCGCAGTACCGCCACCTTCTGCTCTGGAGTGTAAACGCTTCGCCTATGAGAAAAAGGAGCAGCGCATGAACCGAACGCAACACACGCAAACCGAACCGAGACAGTCGAACCGAACGGTTTGGACGGTTTTCATAAACCGTTCCATCCCTAATCTCAATATGATTCAACTCCAGACTTTGACGTATATATATTTTTTTACAGACACTTACTTGTTTACGTTAGGCTCAAATCAGTTTTATTCAGTTTATTTCTATAGCGCCAATTCACAGCATGTCAACGCAATGCACTTTGCAGTTCACCAGATCATCCAGTCAAATTGATTCAAACTTCAGGCCTTTGTGGTGTTTATGTTGGTTTCATGTTTGAAACTCTCCCATCGATGCTGTTTTCCTGCCATTGAACCATGGACCATACGTGTTGCCTGAGGCTAACGAGGTCTGTGTAGCTTTAAATGTTCTCTGGAAGTAGTTTTGGTAGAACCACACATGAAAATGTTCTCCATGTTTTCTCCATCGTAACCAGGAACACACACTGGTCAGAATTTTGGGAACCGAGCGCCAAGCACAAAATTATTATCTGCCGATCCCAGCATCTAATCCATAAATTCTTCAGCTGCTGTCTCATGTGCACTGACATTGTATTATAGGGATGCACGATATTGGGATTTTGGCCGATATCCGATATGCCGATATTTTAAAACTCATGTAGCCGATAACCGATATCGATACCGATGTTAAAGCTGGACAAAAATAAGTAGTCATTGAAAATAGCAGTTTTGTTATCCATTTCTGACACTTTGAAAAATAATATACTCAAATATATTTTCATATGCTGATATCAAATAGATTTTTTAAAACGCGGTATCGATCTATTTTACTTTCAAAATCTCGTGAAATTTCATCGTTCGGTTACAAACTCTCGTGATATTTTGCAAATTCTTGTGAGATTTTGTTAGTAAAATAGATCGATACAGCGTCAATATATCAACATATAAAAAATATGGCACCATTTCGTGAATTTTCGGGGGATTTCGTAGCATAACGATGACATATAGCAATATTTCATTAGTAAAAGAGATTGATATGGTGTTTTTAAATGGCAATATATCAGCATATGAAGATATTGGGATATTTTAATGTATCAATATTTTTCCCCTCGTCTTTAGAAGTTTTTAAGTCTGTAAAAAAGAAGTTTTTGAGGAAGAAGTAATATTTTTTTATCTTTTTTTTAGACTTTAGAAACTCAGAAGCTGATCAAATATCGGGTTAAATATTGGTGGGGTGGCCGATGTCCGATATTCAGTTTTAAGGCCGATACCGATAGGGGGCCGATTATATCCTGCATCCCTAATTATTATTAGTTATAAAAGTGATAGGAGATGTGAAAGGAGGCAGTGAGATGATTTTTTTCATCAAAATGAAAGAAAATAATGTTGACAAAGGATGAAATAATGGTCTTAAGAGTTTTTGTAGGTGGCTTTTAAAAAAGATTTATTTTAACCCTAGAAGGACTGTCTCATCATCCTACCTCCCTGTAGACACCAGCCAGCAGTTCCCTTCTCTCCCTACCCTGCCGCGCCGTCTGCCTATAGGCTCCTCTGATCCCCGACTCATTCTTCCACCTCCAGCAATTAGCCTCTGGAGGTTAGCCTTGGCTAACCATAGCCTCACGCTGCTAATTTTTCCTGGCAGGCTTCTTAAAAGTACTTCTGTCCGCTTCCCGGTCAGCACTAGCATCTCCTCTACCTTCAGCATCCTGTTTCCTCAGCTGATCTTTTGCTCTGCTCCTTGGGTCCTCCACAGTTAGCCTAAATAGCCTCAGTCAGCTATAACCTTTCCTCTTGATGCGTCTTATCTCCGCACGCCGTTGCACTGTTTCCCGATTAATCAGTTAATAATCTTATAGCAAAATGTTCCTTAAGGAAGAGATTTTTATGAAATTAAAACTGTTGAAACTAAAACTTTTCCACTTCTGAATATAGTTTTTTGAAAACTAAAAAGTTTTTATCTGAAATACAAAATGTTTACATGTTTTTTAACAATTTTGATATAATATTTCTACCGTAAGTTGGTTCCTCTGTCAGCTAAACCCTTTTTTTTTTATCTATTCTCCAGTTAGCAATTATTAGATTCTAAAGTAGTTGACGATTATTTTCTAATCCATTAATCAAGATTAATCTTAACTATTATATATAAAAATTTTTGGGTTGTTTTTTAAATTTTAATTGGTTTTTAGAAGAAATCTTTTAGAGAAAAACTTCATAGAACTGTAGCTTCTAGATGTATTTAAGGTCTGCTAAAAGCTTCTGTTGTTTTTGACCTGTTGCATGTTTCTAATATCTGATCACTGCCTCCCACTCAACACACCCCTCCTCCTTCTTCTTCTCTGTGTTGTAGAGATTCAGACCATTCAAAGGGCCTCATTCTATGACAATGTCACATGTCTGGATGAGCCAGAAGGTGAATGACTGGGCTGCACCTGAGCAGACCTGGGCCAAAATATTAAGAGCTGCATCATTAATCAGGGGCTGAATAGTAGCACAAGTTTAAACCGATCCTTTGGGTCGTGCTGCTGTATTTTTGCCCAGATCTGCCTGTAGCTGGTGCCGTGCATCGTATTGTACCCAAAGTGGCTCCCATTTGCTTCCAGGCTGCATGGCTTATTTGGCCGAGCCAAACTTAGCGGCCCCTCGCTGGGAAATAAGTCTGAGCTAGAATAGCTTGCTTCCTTTAGTTGTATTTGTGTGTTTTAACTGTAGTTTTAGAGGCTTTAATTAAAGTAATCACAGCAGCTTTATGAAGAGCCGTCAGTAACAAATGAAGAATATTTAATAACTCAGCAGGAAATGAAAACCAGATGCTGGTTTTGGCTTTTTTCTTTGGCTTTAAACTTACAATCAAAGGTCCAGATGGCAGACCACTGACATGCAGAACTTTTCATTTGAAGTAACCTCCTAAGGCTTTAATACTTTTCATCATTTATAGGGAACTAGGTGTGAAATGATTGGGGAACTTTCTTCACCTTTTATGATTATAATTCACAGGGAACAGTCCTGTTTAACATTCTTTGTTTGCCTTTTGTGTTTTATCTTTGGAAGAAATAAAGCTTCTTTTTCATTCTGAATCCGAAAAATAGATTCACAATGAAATCAAAACTTGGATCCATAAAGGGGTCCTTAGAGAAGCTAAGACCAGATTGTTTTACTAAACACCTGCATCCCTCCTGTCTGTGGTCCAAGCTCTGTAGGTTAATAGTTGTTAATTGTTGCATCTTTGGTCTGTACAAAAAAAACATTAAAAATCTGAAAAAATACCAGGAGATTTAAACATAAATACTTATTTTAAAAGTTTCTTTTTAGTTTGTTTTTACTGGATAGTTTTCTTCCAAAGGTTCCAAGGTGATTTCTTGAACTTTTTCACATTTTAAAACTCCTGACTAATATGAAATGGGGGGAAAAAAATGTATTTATTAAATCCTCCCTATGTCAGTTGTTTGTTAATTGATTAAGCAATTATTCAAATACTATTTAGAGGAATAATCAATGGATCATTATTGATACCTAAAACTAATAAGTTCACGGTGATTTAATTAATTTAGCATTAATCATTAAAATAATTAAAGTATTGATTTTCGTTGTGATCAGTGAGCCTAGGAGCGGCCATTTTTGCCCAAATATAGTAACCCCTCCCTCCTGCCATCTTCCAGCAGTGACGTCACGGTGCGGTAAGCCTAGCGCCATTCTCCCCGCTTTCCAAGCTAAATCAGTGGGAACTACTAGACACATCTGCAATCAACAACAATTATTGAAGATTTCCAGAGGACGTCACCATTGAAATTCACCAGAGCTATAGTGAAACTGACAATGCCCAGGTGCATGGCAGCTGGATGCTGGAATACATCGGGTAAAAGTGAAAAAAAAGAGTTATTCCACCTTTCTGATCCTGATCCTCCACGGACGGGTTGGTCGTTGGATCGCCAACTTGAAGAGGGAGGATTTGCCATCAAACTTCTGGCCAGAGAAAAAACCCGTAATATGTAGCCAACATTTGGAAGAAGAATGTTTTCAAGATGACTTGGATAATAGCGCGTTGTGACAAACACCAGATACAGCACTGGGACTTGATCAACAGCCGATACCGCACTGTGACGTCACTAACCAGTAGGTTATGCATTAGTTAAGCTGTCTTTAGACATAAGGTCTGGATTCATTATGAATATTCTATGTATACACCCAAAATTGAAAAAATATATAGAAAGGTCAGCGTATGCCAGAGTTTTAGGAGATTCTAGGACGTCGGGCATACGCTGGTTAAACTGTGGTGTGACAGGGCGCTAAAGCTTTCCGTTGGGAAGTTGGCTGAATGTTTAGGGCCAATGCTTTTCATGAAGATTGGCCTCTGCAGCTCTTTTCTTCCATTATTATCCTTTATATTAGATTTCTTATTTCAACCAAAATCATTAACCTCGTGAGACCATCCTGATCTCGCGAGCTTTCAAGGTTTCACTCGCAGATCAGTCTGGCTACTTTCCGTTAAAGAAAATTTGGAGCCGTTCACCAAACGAACGTCCAATCAGCGTTGGCTTTGAGGCGGGTTGAGGTGTGACGCAACGAGAAGCGCGACAGTTCAGTCTAAAGAACATGGCGGCTTCAGCCGATGAAACTAGCGTTAGCGTAGCTATCGAGCAAGTTTTATCGGAATTACAGAGTATTTCTTCACTGAAAGAAGAGCAAAACACTGCTCTGGAGGCTTTTCTCAGAGGAAAAGATGTTTTTGCTCTTCTCCCGACTGGTTTCGGCAAGAGTAGCCTGGCTTGTGGTTGGGTTTTTGTCGTCGCTCTGTTAGTACGTCATATGCTTCGTTGATCTGATTGGTTTATTTGGCCCGTCTATCACCAACATAGGCCAATCAGCTAACCAGTATTTTCAAGTCAAGTCAAGTCAGCTTTTATTGTCATTTTCTACATATGTACAAGACATACAAGGGAAATGAAATTACGTTTACTCTCTGCAATATACAAATATACAAGAAATATACAAGACTGACATTTAAAAACTGACATAAAGTGCGGGACATGACAGGTAACAGTGGTAAGATAAATATAAATATGAAGTATAAACATTACAATAGAAAGCAATAAAAACAGCAGCAATAGTTTGTTCCAGGCTGAGGTAGTGCAGGTAAGGTGCAGTCTCTGGTACAGTGTATGTGTGTATTTCGCCCCTTCCCAAAATTACTTCAAAGGAAGGTTTTCAGATGGATATGCGGAGCAAATGTAAGTGTATGCGGACACGCCCATTGAGGTAGTTTAAAGTCTATTTTTCATACAAAACAAAAGGAATAATTTCAAATCTGACACCTTGGGGATGCGTACTGACTATAGGTATGCTGGTCTGACGGGGTATGCTCATCTGACAGAACACCGGCGGTGTTTGGATCGTAGTGCTTCTTTCCATGCAGCAGAATCCTAAAAGAACTCCCAGTAGATCCAGCAAACGCTTCACCTCCATTCCCAGAAGCCCCAGCTCCAGTCCCACACTGCTGATGTCTTTTATCTGGTCGTTTAGATGCCTCTTCATGCTGCTGTGGCGCTGCCACCGTCCCATAGTAAAGACTGTCTCTCTCTTTTTGTGTCCCCACCAGTGGACCGAATTGTGGGCCTGGACCAGGTGGCCGGGATGAACGAAACAGCATTTGGTGCCACCTACAAAACCAAAAAGGGCATGTTCCGTACAGTGGGGCAGCTCTACAAAGAGTCGCTCACCAAGCTGATGGCAACACTGAGAAACACCAACCCCAACTTTGTCCGCTGCATCATCCCCAACCATGAGAAAAGAGTAAATCCTCTCTTTAACTTCTCCCTCCGTACTTGTTTTGTTTATGTATTCTCTTTTTTGATTCTAGTACCAAACATATTTGCTTCCACAGGCTGGAAAACTTGAGCCTCACCTCGTTCTGGACCAGCTGAGGTGTAACGGAGTCTTGGAGGGAATTCGGATCTGCAGACAGGGCTTCCCAAACCGCATCATCTTCCAAGAGTTCAGGCAGAGGTGAAAAACTTGGACCCTTTTCAACCTTTTTTTTAACCATTTAAAGATGTTTCCAACCTTAAATATTTTGTATTTTTTATTTTCAGATATGAGATTCTTACACCCAACGCGATCCCAAAGGGATTCATGGATGGAAAACAAGCCTGTGAGAGAATGGTAATGTCGTCTTGTTGCTCTGTTTGGTGATTTTTATTCATAACTTGGTTTGTCTTAACAAGCTCCTTTGTCAGATTCAAGCCCTAGAACTGGACCCCAACCTGTTCCGTATCGGTCAGAGTAAGATCTTCTTCAGAGCTGGTGTTCTGGCCCATCTGGAGGAGGAGAGAGATCTGAAGATCACCGACATCATCATTTACTTCCAGTCCGTCTGCCGTGGATACTTGGCTCGCAAGTAAGGCTTTAATCTCTGGATTTTTGCTTTAAAGTTCAAATAGAAAACAAATACTTAATAGTTTCTCATGTATAGTACAAAAGTATGGTGTAGAATGTACAAAATTAAATATATCAAGTAGGGATGCAAGATATAACCGGCCCCCTATTGGTATCGGCCTTAAAACTGAATATCGGACATCGGCCACCCCACCAATATTTAACCCGATATTTGATCAGCTTCTGAGTTTCTAAAGTCTAAAAGAAAAATAGTACTTCTTCTTCTTCCTCAAAAACTTCTTTTTTACAGACTTAAAAACTTCTAAAGACGAGGGAAAAAATATTGATCCATTCAAATATCCCAATATCTTCATATGCTGATATATTGCCATTTAAAAACACCATATCAGTCTCTTTTACTAATGAAATATTGCTATATGTCATCGTTATGCTACGAAATCCCCCGAAAATTCACCAAATTTTGCCATATTTTTATATGTTGATATATTGACGCGGTATCGATCTATTTTACTAACAAAATCTCACAAGAATTTGCAAAATATCACGAGAGTTTGTAACAGAACAATGAAATTTCACGAGATTTTGAAAGTAAAATAGATCGATACCGCGTTTTTAAACATCAATTTGATATCAGCATATGAAAATATATTTGAGTATATTATTTTCAAAGTGTCAGAAATGGATAACAAAACTGCTATTTTCAACGACTACTTATTTTTGTCCAGCTTTAACATCGGTATCGATATCGGTTATCGGCTACATGAGTTTTAAAATATCGGCATATCGGCCAAAATCCCAATATCGTGCATCCCTAATATCAAGTGAAAACATTTCCAGCATTTTGTTGTTTTTAGCGTAAATGAATTCACTAAGATAGCATCATTTACAAAGCATCAGTTAAGGCGCCCGTTCTGCATCAATACATGTCTTTGATCACGGTATCAACCTGGCTGCTGTTTACCGCCCGTACCCCCAAAAAAAAAAGAATAAGAAAAGAAAGAAGTTTTGCAGTTGCAGCAGATTGAGCGTCATGTCTGCTAGGAAGTTTGTTGGTGGTGGCCGTGAACGCAGGGAGGATCCATCACACTTACCTTCCGGCTCACCCTATGTAGCCTCGTGAGACCATCCTGATCTCGCGAGCTTTCAAGGTTTCACTCGCTAATCAGACCAGGTGAAGCTACTATGAGGAAAAGCAGAGAGAGCAGAACGTTAAAGATTGAACTAACAGATTCTGCAGAGTGGGAGAATAGAGATAGAATGAAGCAGAATGATGAAAAAGGGGTCCCTATGTCCTCCAGCAGTCTAAGCCTATAGCAGCAGAACTATAGACCATTTGATTTGTTCGCATTAACCTCTTCCCTGTCGTGTTTGTTTCTTAGAGCCTTTGCCAAGAAGCAGCAGCAGCTGAGTGCTCTGAAGGTCCTGCAGAGGAACTGTGCTGCTTACCTCAAGCTGAGACACTGGCAGTGGTGGAGGCTCTTCACCAAGGTCAGAGCCACTACAGCCAACATGTAGAACCTCTCTGAGTTGAAGAGCAGAGACTGAGTTTGTTTTGTGCTCCAGGTGAAACCGCTGCTTCAGGTCACCCGGCAAGAGGAGGAGCTGCAGGCCAAAGACGAGGAGCTGGTGAAGGTGAAGGAGAGGCAGCTCAAGGTGGAGAACGAGCTGGTGGAGATGGAAAGGAAACACCAGCAGGTAAGAACCTCTCATCAACTTCATTTAAATTAAAAAATAACAGGCTGATTCAGACAAACTGCTTCCTTTAGCTCCTTGAGGAGAAGAACATCCTAGCAGAGCAGCTCCACGCAGAGACAGAACTGTTCGCAGAGGCCGAAGAGATGAGAGTCCGACTCCTCTCTCGGAAGCAAGAGCTCGAGGAGATCCTCCACGACCTGGAATCCAGGGTGGAGGAAGAGGAGGAGAGGAACCAGAACCTGCAGAACGAGAAGAAGAAGATGCAGTCCCACATCCAGGTACTGTCCTCATTTTATTATTTCTAGCTGACATTAACCACTGTATCCCTTTTTCTTTTTTAAGCCTTTTTTTTCTGGGTCTTCCCAGGATTTGGAGGAGCAGCTAGATGAGGAGGAAGCTGCAAGACAGAAGCTGCAGCTGGATAAGGTGACGGCCGAGGCAAAGATCAAGAAGATGGAGGAGGACATCCTGCTGCTGGAAGACCAAAACTCAAAGTTCCTCAAGGTGAGGAGGCTTTCAAAAAGGAGGAGGAAGCTTTTCACACAGGAAGCAGGAAGTTCATCACTTTGATAGATCACCAGTTTGTCCATCTTATGCTACGTTCAGACTGCAAGCAGCAGAAGCAGCAGAAACACGCGTGCTGCTTCATTTTTGATCCTTTAGTTTAGTTCTGATGCGCAGCTGAAGCGTCTTTGCTGCTCTAGCTGTGCGGTGGAAAATTGGGTTTGATGCATGTTGGGCGGAGCTACTCTATCCTTACTTTGCCTGGAACAATGGCAGCTATATTTGCTGTGATCAGCGGGTAATCTCCAGCAGCAGCCTCTGGCCCGGTCGCCTCTTTGCGGTTTTCCACTACTGCTCACAGCGGCTGAAAGGCGTTTTTCACATACGTAATCTAAACTGCTGGCATCAGAATAATAAAATCGAATATATTTTGCTGTCAGGTTTTGAAATTTGAAGTTAATTTAGGCGCTAATAAACTGTTTCAGAGGAGTGATCATAGCTCTCTGCATCAGCAGCAGTGCTGTGTCTGACTCCCTGCCAGCTCCCAGATCAGCTTCTCTGATTGGTCGATGTGGTGCGTCCAGCAGCGAAAGTTAAATTTTTCCAACTCCAGCAGCTGCTGCTTCTGAAGCGCCTCAGATGCTCAGAAGCTCGTGACGAGCTGCTCCTGCTGCTCTAGATGCTGCAGGACCTTTTGCTGGGCCTTGATTCGTGTTAACCATTGACTTTGCATGTAAACCAGCTGCTTCTATTGCCTCTGCTGCTTGCAGTGTGAACGTAGCGTTACACTACTAACATTTGACAGTTGCTTTTTCTATGTCTGCTTAGGGATGGGGATCGTTAATATTTATTGATATCGATACCTTTATCGATACTTTTCTGTTATTTGGTGGAAAGACGATGCAACAAAATTTTTTTAACAGAACTGGTATTGCTTTTATTGCTTAACAAGTGAGCATAACAAAAACGTTTCTAGCCTTCATTAAACATGGCTAATGTAATAGGCCACTTCGAAATGACATAAAACTAACTAGAATACATTTTCACAATTGTTGGTTGATGTATTGTCTACTGTCACTTTTCATCATGTTTTTAGTGATTAGGAAAATATTTAACAAATAAATAATTGTATTTTATTTTAAATGTAATCTTTAATAAATGTTGGCATCAGTAGTTTAATTATATATAGAGCAATATACAACTGTATTACTCATGTTTCTCGCCAAAAACAAAATTTCCCGTTTTCTTTACGTTACACTTGAACGCATCATGATAACCTAATTGTCGTTTTACTGAGCCAATCTGAACACATCATCACGCAACACGTCTGAAACTTTATTTACTTTTCAAGCTAACTAGCTTGTATGCTGCCGATTACAACACGGATTTCACAATTACTATTTTTAACTGACCGGACAAGCTACAAAGTCTGTGTGCGCTTACCATTGGTACTCTGAGTGGATGATGAAGACGTGGTGCGGCGGCAGCAGCAGCAGGAGGAGGAGGAGTCTTTTCTGTTCAGCCATTCTCGAGTCGCGAGCAAAGTTAACTGCCAGACTTCACTTGTTTTACTTTTAATATCTGTTTGCTTACAATTTCATTCCAAAACATTGGTGGACATGCTGCAGTGATTGGATTGATTAGATTTAAATGCTGTGACGCGACTTGAGGGACACACAATTATGTTACAGGACCTCCGGGAGAAAAAAAAAAAAAACGACCAGACTCGATAGTGGTATCGATAAGCCCAAACGTTATTGATTTTCGGGTTTTGAAAAAAGTGGAACCGGGTCCTTGATGGAACCGGGTTTCGATCCCCATCCCTATGTCTGCTTCTGTCTCCTTGAACCCCAGTGGGCCTCAGCAGATGGCCGCTCACACTGAGCCTGGTTCTGCTGGAGGTTTCTTCCTGTTCAAAGGGAGTTTTTCCTCTCCACTGTCGCTACAAGCATGCTTAGTGTGAGGGATTGCTGAAGAGTCAATGAGTCGATGCAATCAGCTGGTTTTCCTTAGATAGAAAACTTTGAATCAATCTGACTGTATGATCTGGTTGAACTGGAAAGTGCCTTAGGATGACGTGTTTGGAATTGGCGCGATAGAAATAAACTGAATAATAATTTAATTAAATTTGTAATTGTCTGAAGCCACAATTTTCCTCTTAGCTTTCTGTTCAACATTGATGCCTAATGTTCAAAGTTGTGTCAGAAGACGTCTCAGCCGTGATTGCCCTGATTGAGATGGTGTGTTTTTTTTTTTTTTGTTTTTTTTTTTTTCTCCCAGGTTGGGGTCTCAACCGCATCCTCTCCCAAATACATCTCAAGTCTCCGCTAAGTGCGGAGCCCATTCCCCCCGTCCTGCTCTCCCTCCGCTGGCTGGCGTCTGGGCTCACCGGTGCACTGGTGGAGCTGGGGGTGGATGCCCGGGGGACTGCTGGCTCATTCCTGGCGGCCTCTCCGCTGGCCCCGGCCGGCCGGGGCTTTGCTGGGGCTCCTGTCTGGGGATCGGGTGCCCTTGGGGCCTCGGATCTCTGGGGCCTGGGACTGGATCCGCTTCGGGGTGGGGCTGGGTGTTGTTCGGGGATTTTCGGGGTCGGTGCCGGTGCCTTCGCTACGATGCCGGTTCCTGGGCGGTGTTTCTTTCCTATGCCGGTTCTGTGGTACCGGTTCGGGGGGGGGGGGGAGCTGCACGGCATGGTGGGGTGCGGCTCTTGGGTCCTGTTTTGGGCTCCGGTTTTTCCGCTCGCACTTCTCCTCTTGCCTATTTATTTTAATTGTAATTATTAATTAATTAATTAATTTACCTATTTATTTATGGTTTTTTTTCTCTTCCTCGGTGGGGGGGAGCGGTTGCGGGCGGGTCGGTGTCCGGTGTCCGCTGTCGCATTGTGGGGGCATTGTTTTTTTTTTTTTTTTTCTTCTTCCTTTGGGGGGTTTGGCATGTCTGTTTTCTCGGGGGGCGGGCGGGCCTGCTGGGTGGGGGTCCTGCTGGCGGCGCGCCGCTGGTGTGTGGGGGTCCGGGCGGCTCCGGCGGGGGTAGTGTTGGGGGGCCGGTCTGGGTGGGCTGGCTGCGCTGGCTGGGTATTCGGGTGGGTTTTCCCTCCTGGAGGCATGGCGGGGCTGCTCTGTTCCCGCTGATCGCGGCGGGTGGGGCTGCGGGGCGGGTGGGGGCCTGGAGTGGCTATGGCCAGCGCGTGGTGGGGGGCCGGGGCGGCGGAGCTGCTCTGGCCGCGTGTCAGGGCCTGGTGCGGGCGGCGGGGGGGGTGGCGGACGTGGCTGGGCTGCTTTGGCTTCGTCCGGTGGGGGGGGCGGCGCGGTTCGCTCCGCTCTGGCTTTGTGCTGCCCCTCGGGCTGCTGGGGGGGGGGGGGTTGCGCCGGCTGCGGTCTGCTCTTCTTGCGGTTTTGCGCCGGGCGGCTTTTCTGCTCTCGGGTTGATTCTGTGCGCGGTGTGTTTCGTTGCGCGCTGTTGCCATCGGTCTTGGTGGGGTGGGGCTGCGCTTTTGGCCGGGGGGCGTTTTGGGGGGGTCCCGCGGCGCTCGCGGCCGGTTCGCGGCGGATGCGCATGGGCCCCGGCCGGGGGCGGGGCCGCCTGAGTGTTTTCCTGGGTGGTGCGGTCGCGGTGGGTGTTGCGGCCGGTCGCCGGGGCTTGGTGCTGGGGGGCGGGGGCGTTTCGGTCGGCGCCGTGGGGGGGCTGGTGTTCGGTGCCCGGCCCTACTTCGGGGTGGCCGGCTGCCGGCGGGGCCCGCGGACTCGTCCCCGCGGCTCCCCGGGGCGCCGGCATGGCGGTGGCTGGGGGGCTTCTTCGTGGCTGTCTCTCCTCCTGCCTTGGTGGGGTCTGGTTTCCGGGGCTGGCCCCGCCTTGGTGCCTTCGCTTCTGGGGTCCCCTTGGGCGCCTGGGGCTCTGGGTCTCCCGGCGCTGGACTTAGTGCTCTGGGGGGTGTGCCTCTCCGGCTCTCCACAACCACTATTGAGCATTTTTTCTATGGTTAAAACTTTACATGCACAAGTTCACCCTCACAAACAATTACAGGTGCTAGGCTTCAGGTACTTAGAGATTCACTTCCAAACAGAAACCCCACATTCATATCTTCAGGTAACACAGAGTACATGTCAGACTTAATAATATTACGTTAGCGATAGTTTCAAGGTGTTTGCTTTATTGTATATCTCGTACCATGTTTTTTGGTTGTGCTGTTCTTTTTTTTTTTTTTTTTTTTTTTTTTTCCATCTCATTACAGGTGTTGAAGCAGACTGAAAATGTTTTGTCATTGTCTCCTTCCTATCTCCTCTTTCTTTCATCTTTTGTCCTGTTTTTTTCTTTTTCCTTCTTCTTCTTCTGTTTTTCTGCTCTACTTACATTGCAGTGTCCATATGAACTGTAAAACTCCCTGCATAATTATAATAAAGCAATTTATATACATGAAACAAGTGGAGCAGTATGGCAATTGCCATACCGCTACACTTGTGAAAGTAAAATCTGTTGGGCTCCTTTTGGCATCAAGACAATTATTCTTATTGCCACCTTGCCAGACAGGACACTGTAGAAAAAAAAAAAAAAAAAAAAAAAAAAAAAAGAAGACGTCTCAGCCCAACGGTAAAAGCTCAAAAGCGCATTTCATTTGTTCTTGGTCTCGTGCCCAACAGGAGAAAAAACTGCTGGACGACAGGATTGCTGAGATGAGCTCGCAGCTAGCGGAGGAAGAGGAGAAGGCGAAGAATCTTAGCAAAGTCAAAAACAAGCAGGAGATGATGATGGTTGATCTTGAGGGTAAGTGTCCTCTGGTTCCACTCTCGGTATTTCAACTGGTTGGATGTTTACGGTTGTGATCTTTCCACAGAGCGTCTAAAGAAGGAGGAAAAAACGCGACAGGAGCTGGAAAAGGCCAAACGCAAACTGGATGCTGAGACCACCGACCTGCAGGATCAGATCGCCGAGCTGCAGGCACAGATCGAGGAGCTGAAGATGCAGCTGGCCAAAAAGGAGGAGGAGCTACAGGCTCTGCTGGCCAGGTGGGTCAAAGCTTCTAGAATCATAAACGGGCGCCACAGCTGGAAGCTTTTTTTTTATTTAATTTTTTTTTGGTATTGAGAAGAGATAAACAGACAGGCATTGTTTTAAATATCTGGAGATCATTATGCAGCAGCGGCTGAACAAACATGGATGTGCAAGAAGACAGAAGCAGAAATACCAACAAGCAGACCCTCCAGCTGAACCAGACTGCAGCAGCTTAATCTGTCAATTATTTTTTCAATTAATCGATAAATAACTGGGTAGCCAAAGGTTCCTTAAAGTCGTAGAAGCGGCTGTTTTAACCGTTGCATTTCCGAATTCTCCCGAGTGGTGCCCGACTTTACACGAGTGAATAAAGTGAATGCGATTGGTCAATTATCAATCGTTATGGTGGAAGGTTCCCAAGCAAGTTTGGTTGTAGCTGGTTTGTCGGAAGCATCTTGCTAACCAGTTAGCAACTTAGTGCTAGTAGGTTCCCAATGGGAAATTCCATTGGGACCAAGTAGCACTAAATGGGTGACTTAGAAACGACGCTGTCAAGGAACGCTATGGACAGCGGAAACATGCAAGAGGAGGAGAGTTTAGTGTCGGAGGTCGTGGATGAGTCTCCTCCGTCATCCATTTTTTATTTAGAGGAGGAAAGCGGGGACGAAGATGTTGTGGAAGAGGACGCCAGGGCGGCAGAAGCCTGGTTTGGTGTAGAAGGCTTCCAGCCGTACATGTTTGAGCCCTTGCCTCGCAACGCTGCCAGTTCTGTTAGCTCTACGCCTGCCGAAGACACAGACGTCCATCCCCGTGAACACTGGGACGCAACTCAATGGGAAAGGAAAGGATTCTGATTTCAACCGTTGCGTATATTAGCTGCGACATATGAATCAAGATGCTATGACCGAAAACATTTGATTGACAGATGACCGTTGATATATGATTGGCCGAATTTAGGGGTTCAGGCTGACGTAGAACTAACTGGCCTGCAGAAGATAACGGGGAAAAAATGATTTTAAGTCTGGATTTCTTTTAAATAAAAAATTTTAGGGATGCACGATATTGGGATTTTGGCCGATATGCCGATATTTTAAAACTCATGTAGCCGATAGCCGATACCGATTCCGATGTTAAAGCTGGACAAAAATAAGTAGTCATTGAAAATAGCAGTTTTGTTATCCATTTCTGACACTTTGAAAAATAATATACTCAAATATATTTTCATATGCTGATTTCAAATAGATTTTTAAAAACGCTTTCAACGCTTCAAAATCTCGTGAAATTTCATCGTTCTGTTACAAACTCTCGTGATATTTAGCAAATTCTTGTAAAATTTTGTTAGTAAAATAGATCGATACCGCGTCAATATATCAACATATAAAAATATGGCAACATTTCGTGAATTTTCGGGGGATTTTGTAGCATAACGATGACATATAGTAATATTTCATTAGTAAAAGAGATTGATATGGTGTTTTTAAATGGCAATATATCAGCATATGAAGATATTGGGATATTTTAATGGATCAATATTTTTCCCTCGTCTTTAGAAGTTTTTAAGTCTGTAAAAAATAAGTTTTTGAGGAAGAAGAAGAAGTAGTATTTTTTTATTTTTTTTTTAGACTGTAGAAACTCAGAAGCTGATCAAATATCGGGTTAAATATCGGTGGGGTGGCCGATGTCCGATATTCAGTTTTAAGGCCGATACCGATAGGAGGCCGATTATATTGTGCATCGCTACAAAATTTTATACCTTTTGGGACAATATCGTCTGATAAAAAGTAGATTTATATACATGTTTAAGCCAGAATTAGGAGGATCCCAATTGGAAGGAAAAAAACAGGAATGGCTAGCGGTCGGAAATTGGGCCACCTCTGTTCCAAGCATGGGACCGGTGGCAGTGATCGTGAAGCTGCTTCCTGTTGTTAGATTCTGAAAGATGAAAGGAAGACTAGAGGGAAAAAAAGGAAGCAATCTTTACAGAGGACGACTGAGCAAAGGAGAAACGCTGGCGGTCTGGACTCAGCAGCTCCTAAGGTTTACAGAAGGTCTCATTTTTCCAGCCTGCACCAACAAACTGTTTTCCCTGACCTCAGATCACAGTCTAAATTCATGTTGCATGGCATTAGCCTCAGCGTTGCTCCTTTCAGCGTGAAGAGTGCAGCCTCACATGCTGTATCCATGGCAACAGCACCCCTGAGACTCAACAGAGTCCTCACCAGAAATAGATGTTTGAGCAACAAAACACGACTCAGGCTAAGAGCAATTAACTCTCCCGCTTAATTACTTAACGATCATGAGAGCTTGTATGTTTAATTACAGCAAACAGATGTTAACTGATGCTCATATTTTTTTTATTTAATTTTAAGAATTAGGAGCAGTCATGTGTCTGTTTTGTTCCCATCTATCTCTTGATTTTAAAGTCTGTGATTTTATTTTAGCCTCAGTGGAACCTCACTGTCAGCCTGAATAATTTGACACTTTGTGATTCTCACTTTAGTCCCAGCTGCACTCGGTCATGTCTTCATTAAACTCCATGTGCCTCGTGTTGAACTTGGCCGTGAGAACAATCGGACCGTCTTTGTTTGGAAAGCAGGGCGCCACATTTCCATGGAAGTTGTTAATCAAATCAGCCGCATTCATGTGATCCTTAAGTGAATCGTCATGCCGTTCAGTGAACAGCGGGAGGCATTTAGAAGTGAGGGATCTCGTTAAAATGATGCAGCGAGCAGGAGCTGCAGTTTGCCACACATCCAGCTGCAGACGGATCCTCGCTGCTGTTGGTCTCTGCTCAGACGGACCGAACAGCTTTCTATGGTGCCATCATGTGGCAACTTTGGGGAAAAAATGAGGTCATTGCAAATGATTTGATCTACAGATAAAAGGTTTTTTGAAAAGTATCCTCCTTCCTTCAACATTTCATCCTGCTACAACAACTAACATCAGAGAACACTTTATGGATCACATTTAATAAAACTGGAGTTGAAGAAAAACAATACTATTAGGCCTGAAATTATTCAAACTCTGGAAAGATTTAGGTTCACAGATATTTTAGTGTGCCCCATTGGGCATTTACCATGAGTCGACCTCTCACTCAAAAGTTATTATGATCGTCCAAAAGTAGAATATACTATAACTGAGATACTATATATACTAGAACTATTTTACTTTATCTTTTAATTTGAGCATTTTTTTCTTATCATTGTATTCTTTCCATCTCAAATAAAAAACAATATAAATATGTTAGTAACGCATCAAAATAAATCCAAAATGAAATCATATTATAAACCTGTATTTATAAAGCTGGAGCTGCTGTGAGTAACTCTACAATCACATTCAAACTTGAGGAACAAAATCATTCGACCAACATGTTTCTTTTGTTTCTATTTTTTTTTTTAAGAGTGCAAAGTTGAATCTAAATGAGAATCAATGGGGGGGGGGGGGGGGGGGGGTTGAGATGAGGGTGATGGCAAGGAGGCCTTCCACCCCATAGACATATATATAAGAGTAGACACTGCTTTGACTGTTGCAGAGCAATTATAGCCGCCATATGTACATATGTGTATATATTAGTGCTGTCAATCGATAACATTTTTTTAATCGCGATTAATTGCATCAATGCCTGAGTTAACTCGCGATTAATCGCATTTTAATCGCAAATTTTTTTTCTGATTGAAAATCATTTAAATACTCTCGATGACATACAAAAAATACATACAGGCTAGGTTTGTGCCACTGTTCTTTTTTTAAAATGAGAACAGGTCACAGACACTGATTTATGCCATAGAAACATATGGCAAGAAGATGGGGAGGCATGTAGCAAAAAATAACAAATATGTAGCCAAAAAAAAGGCCCTGAAAACAGGCTGATGTAAAAGACAGTCTTTACAGTTAATACAGTCTTTTGAACAAAGACAAGCATTTTACCCTACTGCTATAAAATGTGGTAGAGTTAACATTAGATGTTAATTAACCAAGATAATAATGAACAATTTTCAATCAATACATCAAAATCAATAGACCGACATCACTAGATGGAGGTAGTCTATGCTCTAGAAAGTTACTTTTCAGCCTCTTAACAAAAATGAGAACACACACACCCACCCACCCACACACAGACACACCCACCCACACACACACACACACGATACCGACCTGTTGCGTACACAGACAGCAAGTGTGCCGTAGCAGATTCCATTTCACCTCAGTAATCTGTTTTCTCAGCGTATTTCACGTTGCTACTAGTTACCAGACACTCAACTTGTTTGTTGGTGGTGGGGCTTAAAGAAAAGGCACTAGCGTCACCCAGTGTATGAGCGTCTTTTTCCCTTGAGGAGCTCTAATATATTGCTTGACAGCACTAATATATATATATATACACATATGTACATATGTGTATATATATATATATATATACAATGTTTCCCATTAATGAACTGCGGCCCACTACAGTCTCGTTTGGGCCCACCACAGTCTTTATAGAGAGAGAGCAGTGTTGCCAACTCAGTGACTTGTCGCTATATTTAGCAACCTTTCAGACCCTTCCAGCGACTCTTTTCAAAAAAAAAAAAAATCTAGAGACAAATCTAGCGACTTTTGGAAACTCTTAGGTGAAAGCTCGTATTGTTCCTACTCTTGTCCTCCAGTGGCAGGTAGCCGTGGGGCGCCTCCCCCGTCCCAACCCAATATCAAAAATATAACCACGGATGTCTGGGGGACAGTGATTGGCATATAAGTTCTGAATGCTGGCGTACCGTAAAGAATAAATGATGAACAGTTTAGTTCAGGGGTCTTCAACGTTTTCAAAGCCAAGGACCCCCAAACTGATGGCGATGGAGCGGGGACCCCCTAATTATATATATTGTATGAAATAGTGTTCTATCAAACTGGTTCTATAGTCACTCTATTACAGATGGAGTAATGTAACTAAAGTAATCCCTCCCTGGGATTATTAAAGTATTTCTGATTCCTGGTTGATGGGACAGGTGTTGTGAATGAAACGGTGCCCAGCTTGAAAGAGCTCCTGTGTGTCGCTGAATGTGAGCATTGATGACTGAAAGACATCTTCTGCTTTCATTTATCTGTTTACTACAGTCTGTTGGATTCATGTTAAAGTGGATTTAAAGACATTTTAATTAGTGCAAAAAATTGCAGGAGGGAATATAAAAAAAGGGATCAACCAAGACTTTCGCGACCCCCATGCAGTACCTCCGCGGACCCCCTAGGGGTCGCGGACCCCCTGTTGAAGACCTCTGGTTTAGTTTGCACCTTCAAGTCGTTGCCCATAGGAAGACTTTACCTGGATATAACCTAACAGAATATCTTCAGAACAGCTCCAAATGAGACAAAACTCATATGGGTGAGTAGAACATGATGGATTAATGTAAAATCAAGGGCCCAATGGAAAAAAAAACAAAAAAAAACATGCCCGGCGTTCCCCTTTAAGTGGGATACACCACGCTTAAAAATGTGCAAAACCCTCGAGGCTCAAAGACTCTGCCGCCACAGTCTCCTAAAATCCTGTAGAAAACACTGTATATATATATATATATATATATATACAGTTTCAGTTCAAATCAGTTTATTTTTATAGTGCCAATTCACAACACATGTCATAACAAGGCAGGTTAAGGAGACAGAAGCAGACATAAAAGCAGAGATACAAAAGGCAACTGTGAAAGGAGGCCCCGTCCAGGAAACACAGTCATTACAGCAAAAGGGGTGAGAGAGATACGTTTGTGTACATACATACGTGTATAAATATGTTTGTGTATATAGTAATAAAAAAATAAAAATGTATGAGTGGCTGTGAATGCATAAATCCCATCAGAATATCCTATTACTCTTAACCCCACTAAGGATATTCTACTGGACTGAACCATTTGTTGTTTTCAGGGAAAAAAACACATCCGTGAAAATGAGTTCAATATTCAGCGAGTTAAAGTTGATCAAAATAGATTCTTTGCTGTCGACCTCCCCAAGATGGCGCCGCCAAATCACATCAGGGCTCATAGGCAAAAGCGGACGTAGCGGGGTCTACTCTTATATCTGTGTTCCACCATCAGAGACCTTTAGTGTATCGAAGGTCTGCTGCTATTGATTATGATTATAAGAAATAATCTGTCAATTGATTCTTTTAATCGTTAATCTAAAAAGAGATCATTTTAGCAAATTAAAATTCATTACTCTATGCTTTCTAAGTGCAAAGCAAATAAATGCTTTGCACTTAGAAAGTAGGTCAGCTTTCAGTCAGATTATGAAGAGCAGCCCAGAAACTTTATGTTCTGCTGGTCCGATCTCATCAGACTTGGTTTGTCAGAAATATCAAAACCTTTTTAAAACATTTTAAAACCCAAAAAGTTCCATAAGTCAGAGATTTAAAGCTCAGATGGATAAACGTTTGTTTTTAAACATTCAGCTTTTCTGTTATCTTCTGAAATCATTAAGTAGACGACTTCCGTTCATTTAGAGTCTTCCTCCTTCAGTAACCTGGTAGCTTAGGGATGATGCATTCACTGCCTGGAGAAAGGTCAGATTTTTATATTTCTGTACCAGTTGAATTTGACGCTGATAACTTGTTTTCTTCTAACCAGGAGCGACGAGGAAGCGGCACAGAAGAACAACGCCTTGAAGCAGGTGAGGGAGCTGCAGGCACAGCTGGCTGAGCTACAGGAGGACCTGGAGTCGGAGAGGATTTGTCGAAGCAAAGCTGAGAAGCTGAAGAGGGATCTGAGTGAGGAGCTGGAGGCTCTGAAGACGGAGCTGGAGGACACCCTGGACACCACCGCTGCCCAGCAGGAACTCAGGTGCACAACTTAAACCATTTTCCAAAGCAAAGCTTAAAAAAAAGTCATAATTTTGCTATCTGAAAGCTCTTAATTTGGAATAAACTTTTGGAAGACGTCCTACATTGTTAACCTGACTCCGCCAGATGGATTTGCTCCGCATATCCATCTGGAAACCTTCCGTTGAAGTAATTTTGGGAAGGGGCGAAAATATTGGTTAGCTGATTGGCCTATGTTGGTGATAGACGGGCCAAATAAACCAATCAGATCAACGAAGCATATGACGTACTAACAGAGCGACGACGAAGAGGAGCCAATTGATAGATCAAACTCTTGCTGAAACCAGTCGGGAGAAGAGCAAAAACATCTTTTCCTCTGAGAAAAGCCTCCAGAGCAGTGTTTTGCTCTTCTTTCAGTGAAGAAATACTCTGTAATTCCGATAAGCTTGCTCGATAGCCACGCTAACGCTAGTTTCATCGGCTGAAGCCGCCATGTTCTTTAGACTGAACTTTCGCGCTTCTCGTTGCGTCACACCTCAACCCGCCTCAAAGCCAACGCTGATGGACGTTCGTTTGGTGAACGGCTCCAAATTTTCTTCAACGGAGAGTCTCCAGACTGATCTGCGAGTGAAACCTTGAAAGCTCGCGAGATCAGGATGGTCTCACGAGGCTACTTCATTGTTACCTTGTTCTGAAATCCAGGTCAAAGCGAGAGCAGGAGGTGGCAGAGCTGAAGAAAGCCATCGAAGAAGAGTCCAAAAACCATGAAGCTCAGGTCCAGGACATGAGGCAGCGGCACGCCCAGGTCCTGGAGGAACTGTCTGACCAGCTGGAGCAGGCCAGGAGGGTGAGTTTGTCCCACCAGGACGCCGCTGAATGCTTCCTCTCATCAGAAACGAGTCTGAAAGGTTTCATTCTGGGCAGTTCAAAGCCAACCTGGAGAAGAACAAGCAGTGTCTGGAGAGCGACAACAAGGAGCTGGCCTGCGAAGTGAAGAGCCTCCAGCAGACGAAGACGGAGTCGGAGTACAAGCGAAAGAAAGTGGAGGCGCAGCTGCAGGAGTTTATGGCCAGAGCCACTGAGATGGAGCGCGCCAAAGGAGAGCTGAGCGAGCGCTCCCTTAGACTGCAGGTAGAAACGCCTCCGCAGGGCTGCGTCCCAAACCTCCGCTCGCCGCTCCTAAACCAAGCTTTCCTCTCTTTATCTGACAGACGGAGCTGGACAACGCTTCCTGCTTACTGGAGGAGGCCGAGAAAAAGAGCGTCAAGCTGGCGAAAGAAGTGGAGACTCTGAACGGCAAACTGCAGGACTCTGAGGTGGGAGGCGAGTCTAAGGCGGAAGTTAGCGGGTCAGGAGGACGAGTCAGAACTTTGTCTATTTCCACACTGGTAGATTAAACAGAACAGTGGTGTTTATAAATGTTTTCACAACCTTTGAGCTTTTTAAACTTCCAACATTGGACCTGTTTGATGTTCCTGATCCTCATGATGCTGGTAGGAAACCAGACAGAAAGTCCCTCCTCTGTCCTCCTGACCTGAACCATAAAAATCTCTTGTAGTGTCAGATGAACAGAAACATTTCTGCTTTTCCTTCTGGTGCTGTTCGTTTGGGCAGGAGTTGCTGCAAGAAGAAACTCGTCAGAAGCTCAACCTGAGCGGCCAGATCCGTCAACTGGAGGCAGACAAGAACAACTTGCTGGAGCAGCAGGAGGAGGACGAGGAAGCTCGACGCGGTCTGGAGAAACAGCTGCAGACGGTTCAGGCTCAGGTACTGAAGGAACAACTTACAGTGAGATCAACCCTCCAATCATGGGGTCTGATGTTAAATACAGAAAACGATCAACAAATAAAGCAAAAGCAAATGGGCCATAACAAGCTAACAGGGCGCCATTATTTCATCAGAAAGCCTTCTAATGCAACCAGAGTGAGCTACTGGTGTGGAAACTGGTTCCTTCTAGACTAGAAGTCAAATGACCAGTAAAACCACAGAGATGCCAAATAATAATAATAATAATGAATATCAGTTATTTGTCTCATTCCAGTGGAATTGCATTTATCAGGTCTTATCAGGTTTCTTTATACTTGATACCCAGTGCAATAGTGTAAAATATTCAACTATTCACCCCAGTTAAATAAACGGAGATCGATGGATTTCACTCAGTCTGTACTTTATTTTTTAATCTTTGCAAAGAGAGAACAGTTCATCATACGACCCTTATTGCACGGTAATCAGCCCTGTTCTGATCTGGGCAGCGTTCGTTCCTCCTTACTTACAATAATGGAAAGTAGTCAAAACAAATTACAGACACTTTGGTTAAACAGTAACATGTTATGAATAAACCTTGGGAAAAATCTGGCTTGTTTTTTATATATATATATATATATATATAAATACCCATCTATATGCTGGTGAAGTTACTCTGCCATCTGGGTCATAATCATTTAAAAAAACAATCCACTTGACTTTGTTTCCAAGTTTGAAGACATGAAACAAAATGTCTTCAAACCTGGAAACAAAGTCCAGCATATTGTTTTTTTAACCCATCTATATAAATACCCATGCTAATACCCTGTATAATAACCCTGTATAATAATACTGCTAAATTTAGAGACTTCAGCTGCCGTATGTTCCATGGTTATTTTAATGCAGCAGCAGAGCTGAGATTCAGCCTCCAGAACATTAAAAAAGTGACGAGAATCAAATTCAAAATAGACGTATACCAAAAACCAATAGAACGTATACTAAGTTATCACACACCAGTATATTTATATGAATGCCAACAAAAAAAAACATTATAAAAACACTTTATAAAAACAAAACATAATTTAATGTACAGGTTTGGTTTTTGTATATAAATCTCAGCCTTCTGAGGCTTTGTGAAGGTAAACCTGTGTTCTGCATGGTCCAATATTGAGTCACAAACTTAAAAAAAAAATAAGGTACCAGTTTAATAATGGAGAAGCTATTAGTCAGCTTTATATTTTTTATTATAAAAAAATATTTCTTTTCAGAGAATGTGTTTATTTAAAAGCAACTATGCAAATTAACAAACATTTAAAAAAAGTAAACTAGATTCTATTGTTTTCCATGTGAATCCCAGGTTGTTCATTCTTCTTTGCCTTTTATAAAAAGTGCTTTAAATCAGTCCTAGCTGTCTGGATCAGATCCTGACGACTGAAAAAGGAGGCAGGGAAAGCAGGATAAAGCCTTAGCCTCACTGAATGCAGTTAGCCAAGCCTTGGAGCTTAAAGGAATAGTACACCCAAAACATGATTAGCCTTCATTTTCTACTCACCCCCATGCTGAACAACACTCTGGAGTACTTTTTTGATATCTCAAATGCATCTGGAGATCTGGGAGGCTTCTTGCTGTCTGCTGACATTCAAATAATGGAAGTCTATGGCGCCCGAGACAGAAAGGTCCATAAAAGTCCACAAAAAAAGTGTCGATATTCCTCCATACTGCTCGTTCAATGTATTCCAAGTGTCCTGAGTGGGTAGCATCCAGAATTTACTAGAAACAAAGTCATTTAGAATGTTTTTAGAGCATAAACAGTAGTGTATAGGATTTCCTGAAAGCCTGTTCACGAGTCTACGGAAGCCGGCAGACCAAACCAGATGAAAGTGCGCATTCAGCGTCTGCTCTGCCGATAATGCAAGCGTAGAAGAAGAAATGTGCTGTTTACCTGTGCAAAGAAAGAAACAACGAAAGAAAAATGTCTGAGGACTTCAGTGTTGAGGAAGAGCATGAGTTCTTTGCCGAGCTGAATGCGCACTTTCGTCTGGTTTGGTCTGCCGCGGTTTCCGTAGACTCGTGAACGAGCAGGTGCGCGCTTTCAGGAAATCCTATACACTACTGTTTATGCTCTAAAAACATTCTAAATGACTTCGTTTCGAGTAAATTCTGGATGCTACCAACTCAGGACACTTGGAATACATTGGACGAGCAGTATGGAGGAATATTGACACGTTTTTTGTGGACTTTTATGGACCTTTCTGCCTCGGGCACCATAGACCTCCATTATTTGAATGTCAGCAGACAGCAAGAAGCCTCCCAGATCTCCAGATGCATTTGAGATGTTTTGTCATGTTTTGGGTGTACTATTCCTTTAACCAGGTCCTGGAAAAGGATGTTTCTTGTGCCTTTTTTTCTCTCTCTCCAATTCAATTTCAATTCAGTTTATTTCTATAGCTCATAGTCTCAGGGCACTTTCCAGTTCAACCAGATCATCCAGTTAAATTGATTCAAAGGTTTCTAAGGAAAACCAGCTGATTGCATCGACTCATTGACTCTTCAGCAATCCCTCACACTAAGCATGCTTGTAGCGACAGTGGAGAGGAAAAACTCCCTTTTAACAGGAAGAAACCTCCAGCAGAACCAGGCTCAGTGTGAGCGGCCATCTGCTGAGGCCCACTGGGGTTCAAGGAGACAGAAGCAGACATAGAAAAAGAAGCATAGATACAAAAGGCAACTGTCAACCAGCTCCACAGGCGGCCCCGTCCAGGAAACACACAGCCAGGCAGACGAGCTCCGAGCCAGCTCCCATGTCAGAGGATGAAGAGAGCACATCCAGTTAGTCACAGTCAGAGAAACAGGAAACAGGTTCAAAAGCGTTGTAATTAACAACTGCCTTTGGATTAATCAGTAATGCTACGTTCACACCGGACGCAGCAAAAGCAGCAAAATCGCGTCTGCTGCTTCCTTTTTGCTGCTTGTACCAGTTTAGTTCTGACGCGCGGCTGAAGCAGCTTTGCTGCTCTGGCTGCGCGGTGCAAAAGTGTGTCTGACGCGCGTTGGGCGGAGCTACTCTATCCTTTCTTTGCCTTGCAGCTATATTTGCTGTGATCAGTGGGAATAAAGTAGTTTTAATATGTTTTTAAGTGAGAAAATACACCTGAAAACTTCATCAGTGCAGTCAGTTCATCCAGATTACAATCCTGCCTCCCAATATTATTTCTGTCGGAGCCGCTCAGACCCCCACATACCAGCGGTGCGCCGACAGAAGGAATCCCTTCAACAGCAGCCTCTGGTCGGGTTGCCTCCTTGCGGTTCACCGCGGCGGCTGGTAGGTGTTTTTCATATAAATAATCCGATCTGCAGGCAGCAGGATAATAAAAGCGAACATATTCTGCCGGTAGATGTATGCATTTTAAGTTAATTATTCGTTAATAAACTGTTTAAGAGGAGCGATCAGAGCGGTCTGTGTCATCAGCGCTGTGTCTCTCTCCCTGCCAGCTCCCAGATCAGCTTCTCTGATTGGTTGACGCGGCGCGTCGAGCAGCAAAAATTAAATTTTTCCCGACGCGCTGCTTCAGCTGCTCAGACGCACTGTACCTACTGCTCAAAATGCGCCGCGGGACCTTTTGCTGCGCCTTGACGCGCGTCAACCATTGACTTTGCATGTAAACTCGCTGCTTTTGTCGCGCCAGCTGCACCCGGTGTGAACGCAGCATTAGTCAGACTGAAAGATTGTTGCTACTCCTCCTCCTCGCCCAGAACTTCTGGGGATGTGAACATTGAAATAACTAGAAGGAGTTTTCTCATTTATGCTGACATAATCCTCCTGCTGCAGCCAGGTTTCTGTAAGGCAACATAAATCATCCAATGGGTCTCCAACTCCCGCGAATCGACCTTTCAATCAGCCGCAAAACGCCTGCGCTGTGGTGGGCGGTGGTGAGCAAATACACTTCCTGTCACCAAACTCTCCTATACCTTTATATTACAGAGCAGCTGCTGCGCATGTAAAACTTTTAACCAGAGTCTATGGGTAAACATTTTGTGCCCTAGGGTGGAAATACATCACAAATCCAACGAAAAATGGAATGACGCTTTACTTGTCATCGAAGATAAAATATTTATCTTGCACATCTAAAATATATATATATATATATATATATATATATATATATATATATATATATATATATATATATATTTATATATATATATATATATATATATATATATATCAATTTATTTTGAAATATTTAAAATTTTGATTTAAAATTTCATTAAAAAAATATATCTATATAACATCTTTTAACATCTTAATCAGGGTCATTGCATGGGTGGGTGGGACAGCGCCCTCTATTGACCAGCCGCCATCGTTCACGTCACTGATGTGGATTAATTAAAATTAATCAAAATGGAAGTTTAGCCGGTTTCGTAGTAAAACAAGGGGGTAACGTTAAATAGATTGTGAGAGATTTATTGTCTTTATCTGGTGACGGTAAACTGGTTCTGAATATCTCTGGATAAACTGTTTCCCATTAATGTGAAATATTCTCCCTGCAGCTGTTCGAGACCAAGAAAAAGCTGGATGAGGATGTGGGAGTCATCGAAGGTCTGGAGGAGGCCAAGAAGAAACTCCAGAAGGACATGGAGCTCAGCAACCAGCGTCTGGAGGAGAAAAGCATGGCCTTGGACAAGATGGAGAAGACCAAGAACAGACTGCAGCAAGAGCTGGACGACCAGATGGTGGATCTGGACCACCAGAGGCAGATCGTCTCCAACCTGGAGAAGAAGCAGAAGAAGTTTGACCAGGTATGTTACCGAGGAGGAGGACCGAAGAGAAGAGCGAAGGCCGTACGTCTGTCAGCCATTTTATTATAATGTTTCCATCAGATGCTGGCTGAGGAGAAGACCATCTCTGCTCGCTATGCTGAGGAGCGCGACCGGGCCGAGGCGGAGGCCCGAGAGAAGGAAACCAAGGCTCTGTCTTTGGCCAAAGCTCTGGAGGAGGCCTTAGAGGCCAAAGAGGAGCTGGAGAGGTTTAACAAGCAGCTCCGCACTGAAATGGAGGATCTGATGAGCTCCAAAGACGACGTGGGAAAGAATGTAAGCAACTGCTGAGCCGTCAGAGGGAGGTCTGATCAGCTGCTGGTCATCTAACTGATCATTTCAGCATCATTGCTGGTGATGATCCTCAGTCATCCAGGCCAAAAAAGTTAAAAAACAATCTTCTGGACTTTGTTTCCAAATTTTAAGACGTATTTCTTCCCACCCAGGAAGTTTTTTCAATTTAAAATGTCAGAAATAGCGTCGAGTTTGTAAAATTCAGCTAAATTAAAAGCGGAACTCACAAATACTCAAGGGTTTTTTTTCACAGGAAATCAGGAAAATTATTAAACTTTTTAGCAAACAAAGATTTATTTTAAAAATAATAATAATAATAAAATCGCACTATTACCAAGAATCCAAAGTTTAATTCAATAATATTTCAGTATAAATAATAAACAAGCCAAAAAACCTTCACAACCAATTTATAAGTAAACTCAAAGGCTCAATTTATATCCCCCAAAAAACAAACAAAAACATCACTAATAACTGAAAGTCCAAAACTGTCCGTCTCTTTTTATTTCTAGTAATAATATCCAAACAGGAGTTCCATACGCTCCGAACTAGAGATGTCCCGATCCAGATTTTTTCACTTCCGATCCGATACCGATATTGTTTTTGGACTTCCGATCCGATACCGATACTGGCTGATACCAGCCTATTCAAGCATGTATTTAAGTTAAAGTATTTAGCCTTAGTTGTAAGACTCATGTTGAAAAAGGTTTTAGTACTCTTGATAACATCTAGCCAGCTGAATTAGGTGAGATTGAATAAAACACAATGATTGGTAACAACAAACTTACCTGTTTATTAAGAGATAAACACAAACTGGACAAAATTATGAATAGCAATCTGAAATTGCACAGTGAACAGTAAAACCGTAAACAGTTAAAGGTGCAAGTATTACTGTAAGTTTTAATAAAAATGCAAAACAGAGAAGAGTGGATAATATTCTATTAACTTAGAATCAGGACTGCTCTTGAAAAAAGACACTGCTTAAAAAAAAATCCGTGCAAATAATAGTGAACTATTACACAAAAATGCCTTATACTCCCCAATGTCCTCCACACCTAGTCTCCATCTACACATCGTGCAGGATAAAATAATCCCACACGGCTGACATTTTCCCGCTATCTTCCAATTCACCTGTTTTAATGGTTAGGCCGGGAGACAGACCCAAAAAGACCTGTGGGTGTGTTGAAGGTGTTCTGGAAAATGTGGACCGGATTCGGGGAACATTGGCGCAAAATAGTGGAATGGATCGTTTCAATCGGCGAAACTGGAAAATACGGACCGGACTTTTTTTTTTTTAAACTGGATCGGCAGTCTGGATCGGCATTTTTACATCCTTTGCCGATACGCATTTTTTTTGCCAATATCGGCGTCCGATCCGATACGTGGATCGGATCGGGACAAGCCTACTCCGAACCCAAAGTAAAATCCTGGAAGCGTTTAAGTCCAAAGTCCTTTCCAAAACGAAAAATCCAAACGGCGAACCCCCCCCAAAAAAGATTAGAAAAAAGAGTGGTACCACCAAAAATCCCCAAAAAGAAAAATAAGGTCCAGATCTCACCGGAGCGTCTTTCTTTCCCCCTGGGCGGCGTCTCCTTGCACGGGGCGGCGTCCTCTGGGTGCAAACTCCGATCAGTTTCCTACAAGCCTGAACTGCGACGCTGGGACAATCTTAGACTCTGTTTAATCTTTCTTTCTTTATTTTTGACTTGTATTTATCAGACTACCAGACGACAACTCTCGCTGCACAGACCTGTCAGTGAGCCTCTTCCTCAACTTTCGAGCCGCGCGTGCCGACGCACACGCCCCTTTTTATTCAGAAATTTCTCCACGCCAAAATAACCCAGCATATTAATTCCCATCATAATTTTTTAACCAGTGGAGAATTGAAATAATATTAGCAATGAACTAACTGTTCTACGAGACAGTTTTTTGTTGGTACACTTTAATGTACTTTATACAAAAAGTGAAAAATAACCAGAGATGGCAAAAGTACTCACTTTCCGTACTTGAGTAAAAGTACAGATACTTGTGTTAAAAAATACTCTGGTAAAAGTGGAAGTACTGATTAAACTTCTTTACTCAAGTAAAAGTTAGAAAGTACAGGCTTGTAAATTTACTTAAAGTATAAAAGTAAAAGTAGAAACCACTTTTTTCATGCCGTTGCCTACATTTTAAATGGATGTCTGCCAATAGGACTAGATCTCCGTTGTGTTCATTTTCAATCATCTCGTCGTCCATGCTACTATGCTAACGCCACCGCCACCAAGCTGCAATGATTTGCCGCCAATGAATACCGCCGAATCTGTCGATTCATCTTGTAGCGGTGCGTCAAATGCAACGTAGATTCCCATCCAATTAGATTGAATTTGGTATTGATGACGTGAAAAATAATAACGGTAACTCCATTGAAATGATTCAAAACTAAAGTAACGAGCCAATTTTTTTAAATGTAAGGAGTAGAAAGTACAGATATTTGTGTAAAAATGTAAGGAGTAGAAGTAAAAAGTCGCCATGAAAATAAGTAGTAAAGTAAAAATATCAGAAAAATCTACTTGAGTACAGGAACGAAGTATTTGTACTTCGTTACTTCCCATCTCTGAAAATAACATAGTGGTTCTGTTACAAGTTCCAGGTTTTTGGTTCAGAAAACCTGCATATTGAACCTGATTAGCTGGTCCGCACTTTTGGAATGGGGGTCGTTTGGTTTCTTTGTTAGCCTGCAATACCCAAAACCTGTCTATGTCTCTGAAAGGGGGTCGTTAGAGGGAATTGTTGGCCTGGCTGAATAGGCGAGGTCTTCTGTTCACCTTTAAAGGGGTTGCAATGATAGCAGGAAGGAATCAACTCTATTGTTGAATTGTAGGTTTTTGAAAACCACCTCTCTTCTTTGTCCCAAATGTTATTGTTTTTATATCACATGAAAAAGCTAAATGTAATTTAATTTGGAGTCAAAGTAAAATGAAAATGTTGATTGTCTACCATCGATTGTCCCGATGATGCACTCAGGTCCATGAACTGGAAAAGTCCAAGCGAACCCTGGAGCAACAGGTGGCGGAGATGAGAACGCAGCTGGAGGAGCTGGAGGACGAGCTGCAGGCCACGGAGGACGCTAAGCTACGTCTGGAGGTCAACATGCAGGCCATGAAGGCCCAGTTCGATCGAGACCTGCAGTCTAAGGACGAGCAGGGAGAGGAGATGAAGAGAGCGCTGGTGAAACAGGTTCGACCTCAGAACGTCCGCTTCATGTCTCCAAAGAGCGCCGGCCGTTATATTTAGAGACATGCTGTTTTTTTTCTCCTCCAGGTGCGAGAGATGGAGGCTGAACTGGAGGATGAGAGGAAGCAGAGATCTGTGGCTGTCGCTGCCAAGAAGAAGCTGGAGGTGGACCTGAACGAGCTGGAGGGTCAGATTGAAGCTGCCAACAAAGGCAGGGATGAAGCCATCAAACAGCTGAAAAAGCTGCAGGTACTCAGAGCAAAGCTGCAGCTCTTTAGACCAAAATTTAGTGGAAGAAATATGTTTTTTTATCTTGACTCATGTGATAACCGCTGACCTGAAGAATATGGCATTTTTTATGGGGTTTATTTCTGGTTCCAAGGTGAAGAACAGCATAATGAGTCTGGCAGTTCTTTCTATAGAGCTGGTTATCCTCCCACTGCAGTGTGTCGCAGTCAGCTTTCCGCAAATGTTTTTGATTTATGCCCAATATTCTATTCAGTTTATTTCTATAGCACCAATTCACATCATGTCATCTCAGGCCACTTTCCAGTTCACCAGATCATCCAATCAGATTGAATCAAAGTTCTCAAATTAGTCAAACGTTTGTGCCGCTTTCATTTTAAAGATAGAAAAAGATGTTTCTAGAGGTCATCAAAGGTCAACCAGCCCCCCCACTTTCTTCAAATCTTTAAATCCAAAGCAGCACAAACGAAAATTTTTGCTGCCCAAAGGAGCTGAGTTAATTGACACCCATTTCGTCTGATTTGAAGAAGGTGGGGGGTAGGGGTGTGCAAAATAATCGTCATGATGATGCATCGTGATTCTAATTTTCGTGATCTACTGCATCGATTCTTGACACCAAGTATCAATTATTAATTTTAAAAAATGAATAAATAAAATTGCATGAATGGTTGGTGAACATCAGCCAAAATCAAGTGTAATACAACTTCCAGTCCAGCAGATGTCGCTGCGGATGTGTTGACGCACGCTGCCTTGTGTCACAATCATTTCTGGCCGCGGGATGCTGTGCCGAGTCATTAAAAAACAAAACAGGAGAAAATATTGCAATGCATCGCAATAATTCAAGTATCGTGATGCATCGTGATAGAATCGCATCGTGACTTCTTTGGCAATACCCACCCCTAGTGGGGGGGCTGGTTGACCTTTGATGACTTCTAGAAACATCTCTTTATATCTTTAAAACGATAGCAGCACAAACGAAAATTTTTGCTGCACAAACATTTGACACTAATTTTGTCTGATTTGAAGAAGGTGGGGGGGGGCAACTTCAGGTTATGTTATCTATTTGTTGTTGTTAAAGAGTAAAAATACTCATTCCATTGGCAAACTACCTCATTTACCTGCTCAAATTAAGGGTAAATATTAGGGATGCACGATATTGGGATTTTGGCCGATATCCGATATGCCGATATTTTAAAACTCATGTAGCCGATAACCGATATCGATACCGATGTTAAAGCTGGACAAAAATAAGTAGTCATTGAAAATAGCAGTTTTGTTATCCATTTCTGACACTTTGAAAAATAATAAACTCAAATATATTTTCATATGCTGATATCAAATAGATTTTTAAAAACACGGTATCGATCTATTTTACTTTCAAAATCTCGTGAAATTTCATCGTTCTGTTACAAACTCTCGTGATATTTTGCAAATTCTTGTGAGATTTTGTTAGTAAAATAGATCGATACCGCGTCAATATATCAACATATAAAAATATGGCAAAATTTCGTGAATTTCGGGGGGGGGATTTCGTAGCATAACGATGACATATAGCAATATTTCATTAGTAAAAGAGATTGATATGGTGTTTTTAAATGGCAATATATCAGCATATGAAGATATTGGGATATTTTAATGGATCAATATTTTTTCCCTCGTCTTTAGAAGTTTTTAAGTCTGTAAAAAATAAGTTTTTGAGGAAGAAGAAGAAGTAGTATATTTTTTTTTTTTTTTTTTTGACTTTAGAAACTCAGAAGCTGATCAAATATCGGGTTAAATATCGGTGGGGTGGCCGATGTCCGATATTCAGTTTTAAGGCCGATACCGATACGGGGCCGATTATATCGTGCATCCCTAGTAATTACACTCAATTTAAGGATTTTTTTTACTTAAAAGTTAGCAGACTTTTTCACTTCAGATGAGAGCTCTGCTCCTTGTTCACAGCTTGGTGCATCGTTTCCTCCCTCTTCACAGTGGTGCAGCAGTGTGATTAATGTTCTGATGGAAGGATTCAGAGTTCATGTAGGCTTTTGGTCCTGCAGGCTCAGATGAAGGATTATCAGCGAGAGCTGGAGGAGGCCAGAGCGGCCAGAGACGAGATCTTCACTCTGTCCAAAGAGAATGAGAAGAAGTTCAAGAACTTGGAAGCTGAGATCTTACAGCTTCACGAGGTGAGAGGCGTGTTTCTGTTTCCTACGTTCTCTGGTGTTTAATGGAGGCTGACGGCTCGCTGTGTGTTGGTGCAGGACTTTGCAGCTTCAGAGAGAGCACGGCGACATGCTGGGCAGGAGAGGGACGAGCTCGCCGATGAGATCTCCAACAGCGCTGCTGGAAAGTCAGTATTTCTGCGTGATGTTTACCCACAAATTCTGCTTTAAAGCAAGAACATTAAAGAATCATTTGCACATGTTGGTGTCAACAGACAAGAAATGTGTGTTTGTCAGGTCATCACTGATGGAGGAGAAGCGGAGGCTCGAGGCCCGAATCGCCCAGCTGGAGGAGGAGCTGGAGGAGGAGCAGGGAAACATGGAGCTCCTGAACGACCGCTTCAGAAAGAGCAGCACGCAGGTAACCCAGAAACCAGGATCAGATATGAAAGCTGACCTGAAACCATCATATCGGATGGAAAAGGGGAAACGCCTTCACCTCTTCCTGCTCTCCCTCAGGTGGACACCCTGAACGCCGAGCTGGCTGCTGAACGCAGCTCAGTGCAGAAGAGTGAGAACGCTCGGCAGCAAATGGAGCGACAGAACAAGGTCCAGCTTAGAATTCAGATATGGAGAACAATTGAACTTAAAACTCTTCTGTCAGGATAGAATGTTGAGTTTATGGTGTTTAAATTCAGTTTATTTCTATAGCTCCAATTCACATCATGTCATCTCAAGGCACTTTCCAGTTCACCAGATCATCCAGTCAGATCTATTTCTATCCAAGGAAAACCAGTTGATTGCATCGACTCATTGACTCTTCAGCAATCCCTCACACTAAGCATGCTTGTAGCGACAGTGGAGAGGAAAAACTCCCTTTGAACAGGAAGAAACCTCCAGCAGAACCAGGCTCAGTGTCAGCGGCCATCTGCTGAGGCCCACTGGGGTTCAAGGAGACAGAAGCAGACATAGAAAAAGAAGCATAGATACAAAAGGCAACTGTCAACCAGCTCCACAGGCGGCCCCGTCCAGGAAACACACAGCCAGGCAGACGAGCTCCGAGCCAGCTCCCATGTCAGAGGATGAAGAGAGCACATCCAGTTAGTCACAGTCAGAGAAACAGGAAACAGGTTCAAAAGCGTTGTAATTAACAACTGCCTTTGGATTAATCAGTAATGCTACCTTCACACCGGACGCAGCAAAAGCAGCAAAATCGCGTCTGCTGCTTCCTTTTTGCTGCTTGTACCAGTTAGTTCTGACGCGCGGCTGAAGCAGCTTTGCTGCTCTGGCTGCGCGCTGCAAAAGTGTGTCTGACGCGCGTTGGGCGGAGCTTCACTATCCTTTCTCTGCCTTGCAGCTATATTTGCTGTGATCAGTGGGAATAAAGTAGTTTTAATATGTTTTTAAGTGAGAATTACAATCCTGCCTCCCAATATTATTTCTGTCGGAGCCGCTCAGACCCCCACATACCAGCGGTGCGCCGACAGAAGGAATCCCTTCAACAGCAGCCTCTGGTCGGGTTGCCTCCTTGCGGTTCACCGCGGCGGCTGGTAGGTGTTTTTCATCTAAATAATCCGATCTGCAGGCAGCAGGATAATAAAAGCGAACATATTCTGCCGGTAGATGTATGCATTTTAAGTTAATTATGCGTTAATAAACTGTTTAAGAGGAGCGATCAGAGCGGTCTGTGTCATCAGCGCTGTGTCTCTCTCCCTGCCAAAAATATTTCTTTTCAGAGAATGTGTTTATTTAAAAGCAACTATGCAAATTAACAAACATGTAAAAAAAAGTAAACTAGATTCTATTGTTTTCCATGTGAATCCCAGGTTGTTCATTCTTCTTTGCCTTTTATAAAAAGTGCTTTAAATCAGTCCTAGCTGTCTGGATCAGATCCTGACGACTGAAAAAGGAGGCAGGGAAAGCAGGATAAAGCCTTAGCCTCACTGAATGCAGTTAGCCAAGCCTTGGAGCTTAAAGGAATAGTACACCCAAAACATGATTAGCCTTCATTTTCTACTCACCCCCATGCTGAACAACACTCTGGAGTACTTTTTTGATATCTCAAATGCATCTGGAGATCTGGGAGGCTTCTTGCTGTCTGCTGACATTCAAATAATGGAGGTCTATGGCGCCCGAGGCAGAAAGGTCCATAAAAGTCCACAAAAAACGTGTCAATATTCCTCCATACTGCTCGTCCAATGTATACCAAGTGTCCTGAGTGGGTAGCGTCCAGAATTTACTCGAAACGAAGTCATTTAGAATGTTTTTAGAGCATAAACAGTAGTGTATAGGATTTCCTGAAAGCGCGTTCACGAGTCTACGGAAACCGCGGCAGACCAAACCAGACGAAAGTGCGCATTCAGCGTCTGCTCTGCCGATAATGCAAGCGTAGAAGAAGAAATGTGCTGTTTACCTGTGCAAAGAAAGAAACAACGAAAGAAAAATGTCTGAGGACTTCAGTGTTGAGGAAGAGCATGAGTTCTTTGCCGAGCTGAATGCGCTGGTTTGGTCTGCCGCGGTTTCCGTAGACTCGTGAACAGGCTTTCAGGAAATCCTATACACTATTCAGAATACAAACTTCTGAAAGTCCTTTCTGAAAGTCCTTTAAATATGAAATGATTCCATCCTGTTCAATAAATGATCAGCGTTTTTTAATTCAGAGTAATTTTCATGTGAATGTGCTTTACTGGAGGTATCCATGTTTGTCAAAGAACACTACTGCCACCTACTGGTTAGTGACATTGTCACGGTGCGGTATCGGCTGTTGATCAAGTCCCAGTGCTGTATCTGGTGTTTGTCACAACGCGCTATTATCCAAGTCATCTTGAAAACATTCTTCTTCCAAATGTTGGCTACATATTACGGGTTTTTTCTCTGGCCAGAAGTTCGATGGCAAATCCTCCCTCTTCAAGTTGGCGATCCAACGACCAACCCGTCCGTGGAGGATCAGGAATCAGAAAGGTGGAATAACTCTTTTTTCCACTTTTCCCCGATGTATTCCAGCATCCAGCTGCCATGCACGTGGGCATTGTCAGTTTCACTATAGCTCTGGTGAATTTCAATGGTGAAGTCCTCTGGAAATCTTCAATAATTGTTGTTGATTGCAGATGTGTCTAGTAGTTCCCATTGATTTAGCTTGGAAAGCGGGGAGAATGGCGCTAGGCTTACCGCACCGTGACGTCACTGCTGGAAGATGGCAGGAGGGAGGGGTTACTATATTTGAGCAAAAATGGCCGCTCTCGCACTCAGTGATCGAGACAAACAATATTATTTCAATTTTTTTTACTGATTGATGCTAAATGAATTAAATCACTGCAAATGTATTATTTTTACGTATAAATAATGATCCATTGATTATTCCTTGATGACCAGACTTTTCCTTTAAGGGCAGCTGTCGACAATGGGATTTATTTAGGGGTATCTGAGAAGGGGGCCTATTTCTAATGCGCACTTTTATCTGGTTTGGTCTGCCGGCTTCTGTAGCGTCGTGAACGCGCAGTCGCGCGCTTTCAGGAAATCCTATACACTACTGTTTATGCTCTAAAAACATTTTAAATGACTTCGTTTCGAGTAAATTCTGGACGCTACCCACTCAGGACACTTGGAATACATTGGACGACCAGTATGGAGGAATATTGACACGTTTTTTGTGGACTTTTATGGACCTTTCTGCCTCGGGCGCCATGGACCTCCATTATTTGAATGTCAGCAGACAGCAAGAAGCCTCCCAGATCTCCAGATGCATTTGAGATATTTTGTCATGTTTTGGGTGTACTATTCCTTTAACCAGGTCCTGGAAAAGGATGTTTCTTGTGCCTTTTTTTCTCTCTCTCCAATTCAATTTCAATTCAGTTTATTTCTATAGCTCATAGTCTCAGGGCACTTTCCAGTTCAACCAGATCATCCAGTTAAATTGATTCAAAGGTTTCTAAGGAAAACCAGCTGATTGCATCGACTCATTGACTCTTCAGCAATCCCTCACACTAAGCATGCTTGTAGCGACAGTGGAGAGGAAAAACTCCCTTTTAACAGGAAGAAACCGCCAGCAGAACCAGGCTCAGTGTGAGCGGCCATCTGCTGAGGCCCACTGGGGTTCAAGGAGACAGAAGCAGACATAGAAAAAGAAGCATAGATACAAAAGGCAACTGTCAACCAGCTCCACAGGCGGCCCCGTCCAGGAAACACACAGCCAGGCAGACGAGCTCCGAGCCGGCTCCCATGTCAGAGGATGAAGAGAGCACATCCAGTTAGTCACAGTCAGAGAAACAGGACTACACTGGAAAACAGGCCAAGCTCCAACATCTAGAAACAAAGGTGTTGATGGCAGCAGCACAGCTGATATTTCTCTCCAGGATGGAGTCACAGCCAAACGGGAACAGACCAGATGAAGCTACTATGAGAAAAAGCAGAGAGAGCAGAAGGTTAGAGATTGAACTAACAGATTCTGCAGAGTGGGAGAATAGAGATAGAATGAAGCAGAATGATGAAAAAGGGGTCCCTATGTCCTCCAGCAGTCTAAGCCTATAGCAGCATAACTATAGAGATAGCTCAGGATAACCTGAGCCACTCTAACTAGAAGCTTTATCAACAAGGAAAGTTTTAAGCCTAGCCTTAAAAGTAGACAGGGTGTCTGCCTCACGGACTAAAACTGGTAGTTGGTTCCACAGGAGAGGAGCCTGATAACTAAAAGATCTGCCTCCCATTCTACTTTTAGAAATTGTAGGAACCACTAGTAAACCTGCAGATTGAGAGCGAAGTGCTCTGTTAGGAACATCAGGAACAATCAGATCTCTGATATCAGATGGAGCTTGGCCATTTAAGGCTTTATATGTGAGAAGGAGGATTTTAAATTCTATTCTGGATTTAACAGGAAGCCAATGAAGAGAAGCCAGGATAGGAGAGATATGATTTCTCTTTTTCATTTTCATTAGAACTCTGGCTGCAGCATTTTGGATCAGCTGAAGGCTTTTAACTACAGTTTGTGGACTTTTAACGAGCTTTAGACTAAAAAGCAGACTTTATACAGACATCTGCCTCCTGTCACTTTTAGATCTAATGTCCTGCTAAACAGATGCATCGATAAGCGTGAGTGAAGGTTTCTTCAGTTCCTCCTCTGCTTTTTTATAGAGAGTAAGAAAAGCTCTTTGGGACAGCTGTCAATCTGGAGAACGGACAAGTCTGCTCTGATGCATGCTGGGTAAAGAGGGAGGGGCGAGAAAAACATCTGGGGACTTTCTTTGTCCGTTCTCGGTCTGCTGTTTTTGTGAATTTGAACAGTACTAGTGATGAGGATGATGACGTTTCACGAGCACACAAGAACGCACAAGTTCACAGATTGAGAAACAGTCTCTGTATTTGAAAATCTTCATGTTTGTGTAAAAGATTCGCATCAGGATCATCTCTGAAAACACTCATCCAACCTTCTGTTTGTTCGTTTTTCATTCGACTCTTCTGTCATTAAACATAAACATCTGCTAATAAATGCAGGAGCTAAAAGCTAAGCTGGCCGAACTAGAAGGAGCTGTAAAGTCAAAGTTTAAGGCGTCCATCGCTGCTCTGGAGGCCAAGATCCTGCAGCTGGAGGAGCAGCTGGAGCAGGAAGCCAAGTGAGACTCCGCCTTCTGTCCTTGCTCACAGAGGATTTCACTTTTAGCCGACATTCCTCTCACTGTCTGCGTTAAACGTTCAGGGAGAGAGCGGCCGCCAACAAAGTCGTCAGACGTACCGAGAAGAAGCTGAAGGAAGTGATGATGCAGGTGGAGGACGAACGTCGTCACGCCGACCAGTTTAAGGAACAGGTTAGGAAGCAAAGTTAGCTCAATATATCGGAAACGCTGCAACATTTACTCAGTGTCTTCCATCTGCCTCCACCAGATGGAGAAGGCCAACTCTCGTATGAAGCAGCTGAAGCGTCAGCTGGAGGAGGCCGAAGAGGAGGCCACAAGAGCCAACGCCTCCCGCAGGAAGCTGCAGAGGGAGCTGGACGACGCCACGGAGGCCAGCGAAGGTCTCACCAGAGAGGTCAACTCCTTAAAGAACCGCCTCAGGTGAGAAGATCCTTCAACATCTGCTGTCATTTTCAATGGAAACCAGGAAAACAGAAACGCAGCAGACTCAATTCAGAGCTTAAGCATAACGCATGCACTAGGGGGCGCTATAGCAAAGATAAACACGTTACAGATCCATTCAGTTTCTATTCAGTTTATTTCTATAGCTCCAATTCACATCATGTCATCTCAGGTCACTTTCCAGTTCACCAGATCATCCAGTCAGATTGATTCAAAGTTTTCTATCTAAGGAAAACCAGCTGATTGCATCGACTCATTGACTCTTCAGCAATCCCTCACACTAAGCATGCTTTTAGCGACAGTGGAGAGGAAAAACTCCCTTTGAACAGGAAGAAACCTCCAGTACACTGCAAAAACGATCTCAAAAGTAGTAAAAAGGTCTTAAATTAAGGGTATATACCCTTAATTTGAGCTGTTAATAGGATGATTTGCCAATAGAATGAGTATTTTTACTCTTAAAATAAGGTATCTAGATATTATGCAGTTGAAATAAGACAATGCAATTGTTTTTTCTTATTTTAAGTCTAAATTGACTTGTTCCATTGGCAAAGTGTCTCACTTAAATCCTTAATTCAAGAAAAAATGCACTTATTTTAAGAAAAAATTACTTATTTAGATTTCATTTTTTTGCAGTGTAGAACCAGGCTCACTGGATCAATTGTGCCAAAATAAGGTCTCCCCCCTAAAGTTCCTTAAAGTCAGCTATTCGCCGTGAAACTTTGCTTTTCAAGAGTTTTCATAGTTCAGCTTTGGTGCCAATTCCTGACTCACTCCAAATGCCTTTCTTTAAATTAGAAACTAAAATATTTGTGGTTATCTGCGGATGGAAACACTATGATGATTGCAGGTTATTACTCAAACATGTGGAAAATAAAATAGTGTTAGATTATTGAACGTTAATAGGAGTGATTAGTACATAGAACTAGGGCTGGGCAATATAGAAAAAAAGCTTATCGATAAAAAAAAAATGCATATTGATCGATATCGATAATTATTGAAAAGATTTGAAACCATATTTTATGTGCAGCTCTGCCTGGACTTTTTATAATATTGCTAAATGATTTAATTTTAATAAAGAACACAAACACAGACTTCGAATTAAATCTTTATTTAACCAACTTTTTTAACCATAACAGAATTGTTTTAAAGAAAAATAACTTAAGAGACCTGAGTTATGTTATTAAATACTGACAAAGAATAAACTAAAGTGACCAAAATAAATATAACAAATAAATAAATGCCCCCCCACCGCCGCCGCCGCCCCCGTTTCCTGCTTTAACCTGAGTTATTACTTTGAAGTTTCTGGCCCCTCAGCATTTTTATCTCAATTGTTAGAACTACGTGGGAAACTTCCCAGAACTGAAAATATATACTGTATATATTTTCCCGAAATTCCCGAAGATTCCTTGGAGGAGAGCCGCGCCGGGGCCTCCACAGCTCGTACTCCTGCGGCTGTGAGCGGCTGAGATGATAAAAAAAAAAAAGTTGGTTGTGTTATCAGACTTGGTTTTCACTGGTTCCCGACATATTTTACAGATGAATGTGGTTTGTTTTTAGTCCGACTTGCCATGACCGAAATACTGCCAGACTGCCGAAACTACAAAAATCCTTCTTTGGAACAATTTCCTCCGAAGTTTGTTTTGCTGAATGAACCTTAAACTGTCAGAGTTGATAGAAATGCTGCTGGTAGGGAGGCGCCCCGCTGTAGGAAGGCCGCCTCCATTTTCCTAAAACACTGCGGTTGGTTAATTCAGCTTTTTTACAAAAGTTGTTTTATTTCGAAACTTTTCGAATATTAAATTTAGGCTACGATTTGAAGTTGTTGGCATATACGTCAATCACATTTATTATCTTAGGGGCAACACTTCAATCAAATCATCCAGACGGTTCAGTTCAGTTTTCTCTCAGGTAGATTCAACGAGTCTTTGATTTTGCAGAATGGACGAGCTCGTAGTGACAGTGGAAATTCTCGTTTGTCGTAGACTTTTCAGCAATCCGTAACACAGCATGCACGAAGTGACAGTGGGGAGGAAAAACCTCCTTAAAACAGGAAGAAACCAGCAGAACCAGCCTCAGTGTGAGTGACTTTCGGTCGAGGACAATGAGGGGTTCAAGGAGACGGAAGTAGAGATATAAAACAAACAGAAAAAGTTTATAGATCAGTGCTTCTATGTCAGGAAAGGAAATGATAAACTAGCTCCGTAGGAGGCTTTGTCAAAGAAACGGTTAAGCAGACGAGCTCCGAGCAAGTTTTAATGTCTAAGGGGTGAAAGAGAGAATATCTATTGAGTAATCTTAAAGCTATGTGTAAGAGAGAAACAGGACTAAGCACTGAAAAAAAACAGGCCCAACTGAGAAAATCTACTCTGATTATTTTTCCAACCCAATCTGATTTTTTTTTTTTTCTCAGTTAAGTTAAAAAAAATGCAAATGAGTTCATTTGCTTTCAAAAACAAGCTTTTATTTCAATCATCTCCTCTGGGAGGAGCTTTAAAAGGTTGTGAAAACATTTTAAATCATGTTTCACAACAAGCAATGAAAATCTAAGACTGAATGTCTGGATTTAGAGATTTTACAGTCAGCGAGATTATCGGTTATCAAAACACAACTAAGAACCAACAGTGAAGAACTAAAGTCGCTCTGAGCTGTGGACGGTTAAAAGGTTGATTGATGGGAGAGAAAAAAGATTTAGATTCAAAAATTCAAATCTTCATAATCATAAAAATTGTATTATTTAGTTTTAGCACTTAATTTCCCAGCCCTATGCTAAACTAACAAACACTACAGAATGAGAGAAACGAGTGAAGGAGAATGATGAAACGGGGTCCCTATGTCCTCCTGCAGTCTAAGCCTAGAGCAGCAGAACTATAGAGATAGATAAGGATAACTGAGCCACTCTAACTATGAGATTTATCAAAAAGACGTTTTAAACCTACTTTGAATGAATCATGTTTATTAAGATGTTTAAACTTTACTTGATAATTTATATTTTTGCCATTAAAGTTCCAGGAAACTAGAAGAACATGTTGGTGGATTTAGTACCCAGAACTAATTTAAAACCTTCGGTTTATCCTCTCCACTGAGGACTAATCCTAATCCTTTCAGGATTTACTTCCATTGTGAACCCCTGGGAATGGTTTTCCTACTTCCAGGACTGTTTAAAGTTGTAGTTTTTGTAAAATGTGATTTTTTTTGTGTGTGTGTTTGTTGGAGCAGGCGTGGCGGCCCCGTCGGCAGCTTCTCCTCCAACCGTTCCGGACGCCGCAATCTCAACCTGGACGGCGCTTCAGGAGACATGTCTGATGACGACGCTGACAGCCGTGCCAACGACTTCAACGACACGCAGACTTTCAACGCCGAGTAAACCCACTTTTACCTCCTTCCACCTTCCTCGCTAAGCCCCGCCCCACACCCCCATTCCCACCGTCCCCACAGTCCCGGTTTAGTCGGTGAACCTTTGACTCGCCACCAGGGCGGTTCTGGTCTGCTCCACGCCGTCGTTTTCTGAATCCAGAGTTACAGGAGCAAACAGATACTTCAGCCTTACTCTGCCCCCACCCCCCGCAGAAACATCTCTGGACACGCAAAGGAAAAAAACTGATCTGTAATTTACTGTGAAACGTGTTTGATTGACCTGTTGCCTCATCTCAGCATTAGAGAAGGAATGTGTTGCTTTAAAGCTCCTAACAGGAAACGCCGGCCTTTAAACAGGAAAAAAACAACAACTAAATGCTGGAAAAAAAAAAAAAAAAAATTGAACAACTGGAAGCTGAAACAAAAAGAAATGCTTGACTGGAAAACACTAAATGGGTGATTAACAAGATGAAGAGTCCCTCCTCACTACATGTCAGTGTTTGTGCTTAGCTTCACGTTTATCCACCAACTTTCAGCTCACTTTACCGCTCTTCTACGGGACGTCCTCAGCGTCCCGCCGCGTTCAGGACGCTACGCCGGGTGGAAACATTCCACTTTTTCTCATTTCCAGCTCTGGATTAGAGTGAAAAAAATAAGAATGTTTAAGTTTCCAGACTCTATTTGTTAGTTTATTTACTAAAACACACAAAAAAATGTTTGAATTTCAGTCTCATCAGATCCTCAATGGCTTAAAGTCGGGCTTTTAATTTTTAAAATCTATTTTACCGTATAATTAAAGGCTCTCGCTAACAACCTGTTTTTAATGTTGAATAAAAATAAAAGCTTTGAACATCTCAATGATAAAACCAGATTTCTCTAAAAACATAAAAAACAAAATATTGTTCCCCTAACAGGGAATTCTGGGAATAAAATGTCAATTCTGACATTTTAAAATGGATCAGAAACACGTGTTTGAACTTCTTCACCTCATGATTAGTTTTTTCCTGCTGAAGCTTGAGATGGATCCACCAGCAGGTGGAGCTGTAGAGTCAGAATGATTTTACCAAGAAAGGCCTGAAAGGAAAGAACTAAAGTTAAATAATTCCTCTGCAGACATTTATGACGATCCTAAGATAAAAAACAGAAGAAAGATTCTTCTTTTCCTCCTTCAGCTCATTTCTCGACTTTTTGCTGATTGAACAGATAACCTGAGAACCGCAGTAACGTCGCTGACAAACATCTACTTATGTACATTTCTAGCTCCGTGACTCGAATGTATTCTGTGCCATTATTTTGAAAGATGAATCTGGAATCTTCTGACAGACCGTATCGGCCCCCCAGGAGTCGTTCTCGACCCTCGAACAGACCTTAGTTTTAGCGTAGCTTTAAATGCGGCTGCCGCCTCTGCAGCTCTCCCCCCCCCTTCCTTCTAGAGGCTCCTCCTCTAATTGGATAAATAATCATATGTTTCTTGTGCCTTAGACACTAAATAAGAACAGAAACGGGGAGCGAGTTCTTTCCCAAATCGTTTTAGAAAACATTCAACATCATATTCTCTTTTTCTTTTTGCTCTGCTTGAGAATCATATCACAGCGTCGTTCATTCTAACCTACATGTTTGGTTGATGCCATATTAACCGACTGCAGCAGCGTTGCACCAAACTCCCCCCGTTCTCAGACCTGTTCCCCCGTCGGCCCCCAGAATCAGGGCGCCGCAGAGGATTGGTTGGAAGCTTTAACATCCACCTGTAGTAAACCTTTTCTTTCCGTTATGATTCAGTTCATTCAGCTGCTGATCCTCTCATCATGTTTCTTGTATATCTGTATTTCTAGACAGTCATTTTTGCCCCCTTTCTGTTTTGTTTTGTAAAAGGAAAATAAAGCGTATTCATTGTAACCGGATGTTCTGGTGTTTTTTGCTGTAAAGTCATCATGTAAACAGTTTTACATCTGAAGGTGTTTTTGAAGACGTTCGCTGATCCAGGAGTCTTTGTCATTTAAGTAACTGAAAAAGATTCAGGTGTAAATTTGGAGCTAAAAAACAAAGGCCCCGCATTTAAAGACCAAAGTGTTCAGATGATTTGAAAGAGGCGCATAGGAAGCCATCTTTGAAAAGAGAAAATCAATCAGTGAACAGAGGGTGATAATGGCAAAGAGAAGAACTCCCATGGTGATTCAGGAGACCTATCACAGAGTTCATGCATAACAAAAGGCTCCAACAATCCAGAAGAACAAAGGTGTTCTGTCAGACCTGCATATGCATGTGCAATTTATCCCTTTAGTTTTATACGAAAAATAGACTTTAAAATACATCAACAGACTTGTTTTAGTCACGTAAGAAAAAAACTATTTACGATCAGATGACCATACGCTTAAAAAAAAACCCACCAGAAAGTAAATTAATTGGTTTTTTTGTGCATGACAAAAGGGATAAACGGCCGTTTAAGTAGTTTAAAGTCTATTTTTAATCCAAAACTAAAGGGATAAATGGGTATTGACTGTCTGCTGGTCTGACAGAACAGCAGTTATTGTATTTGCATCCAAATTGGAACGACCTGCATGCTGCTGAAATGCATCAGAGCTCCAACTAGTTTCCTCTGGCGGAGCCGACAGAATTAAAGGAATAGTACACCCAAAACATGATTAGCCTTCATTTTCTACTCACCCCCATGCTGAACAACACTCTGGAGTACTTTTTTGATATCTCAAATGCATCTGGAGATCTGGGAGGCTTCTTGCTGTCTGCTGACATTCAAATAATGGAGGTCTATGGCGCCCGAGGCAGAAAGGTCCATAAAAGTCCACAAAAAACGTGTCAATATTCCTCCATACTGCTCGTCCAATGTATTCCAAGTGTCCTGAGTGGGTAGCGTCCATAATTTACTCGAAACGAAGTCATTTAGAATGTTTTTAGAGCATAAACAGTAGTGTATAGGATTTCCTGAAAGCGCTTTCACGAGTCTACGGAAACCGGGGCAGACCAAACCAGATGAAAGTGCGCATTCAGCGTCTGCTCTGCCAATAATGCAAGCGTAGAAGAAGAAATGTGCTGTTTACCTGTGCAAAGAAAGAAACAACGAAAGAAAAATGTCTGAGGACTTCAGTGTTGAGGAAGAGCATGAGTTCTTTGCCGAGCTGAATGCGCACTTTCATCTGGTTTGGTCTGCCGCGGTTTCCGTAGACTCGTGAACGCGCTTTTAGGAAATCCTATACACTACTGTTTATGCTCTAAAAACATTCTAAATGACTTCATTTCGAGTAAATTATGGATGCTACCCACTCAGGACACTTGGAATACATTGGACGAGCAGTATGGAGGAATATTGACACGTTTTTTGTGGACTTTTATGGACCTTTCTGCCTCGGGCGCCATAGACCTCCATTATTTGAATGTCAGCAGACAGCAAGAAGCCTCCCAGAACTCCAAATGCATTTGAGATATCAAAAAAGTACTCCAGAGTGTTGTTCAGCATGGGGGTGAGTAGAAAATGAAGGCTAATCATGTTTTGGGTGTACTATTCCTTTAAAGACAGGTTAAAAAAAAAAAAACTGAACCACAGTCTAGTTACCTTCCAGTTTAGGCCTTTTTGTGGTTACCCTCATTTTTACGGCACAATATTAGGCTAAAAGAAAGAGGGAGAGACATACGGAAGAGGATTAAGGCCACTGAAAAAAAAAGTTAGCTGATTTTTAAATTTTATTTCAGTTTAACATGGGGGAAAAAAAGTCAGAATTCTGACTTTAATCTCAGAATTTTGGATCTTAATGTAGATGGGCAACATGAAGGAAGAAATGTGGGAGCACTCAGCTTCACTGACAAAGATGTGAGTTGTTTGAGGTGACACATTGGTGGAAAATGACGGAATTAGGCAACGTTTTTTACGTGCCCGAGGGGTTCCCTCATTGATGGAGGAGCAGAAGGTCATTAAAACAAGAGAGCTAGTCTCTAAAACAGACATGGCTATGGCTTGATGCTAACATGTTTGTTAGCTGTCAGAATTCTGAGATTAAAGTCAGAATTCTGACTGTTTTCTCATATTAAACTGAAATAAAATTTAAAAAATCAGTTAACTTTTTTTTAGTGGCCCTAATCGTCTTCCATAGAGACATGCGGCAAAGGACCACAGGCCAGATTTGAACCCGGGTCGGCCGCGTCGAGGCCTCAGGCCTTCATACATGGATCGTGCGTGCTAACAGTTGCACCACCTGCACGCTCGTGGTTGCTATCATCTTTTAAAGTAACTTCTGTTAAAATATCAAAGTGATTCATTTCTTATTTGCAATAGAAATATCTCGCGGCATCTTTAATTTAGCAAAAATCTAGATTACCTGGATCTGGAAGCTGACAGCTAAATCTTAATCTAAAAAAAAAAATGTCAGAGCAGTTTTTAAAACGACATATAATGATTATTAGACAGGAAAGACAGACAGGTAGTGACGGGCCAATGATTCTCCTTTGTTTCCGTCTAGGATCTTCATGCTCTGAAGCAACGGTGCAGAGTCAAACAAGAAACACTGACGTGTAATACGACAAAAATACAGATATTAAATTAAAAAACTATTAAGCTGTTGCAGAACAAAGTTTGTTTGAAATAAGCAATTTATGTCCAAACACCCCTGGAGGAGCTGCAGGATGCCCCAGCCTTGCAATGGGAGCAACAGCTAGCAAACCTCGCTGTAATTATTACCAATGCTTATTAGGTTACATATTTGCCTCAATGGGGGGAGTGGCGGCGTAGTGGTCAGGGCAGCAAAATGGCAGCCAACTGCTCACCTAGAGGAGGGGTTAAATTCAGCAGGGAGTGGCCTAGAGGTTAGGCAGAGTTTGAGCCCCACTCCACTGATCTCTATTTATTCCCTGGATCGCTGATTGCCAGTTGGTAGTACAGGGTTGAAGTGAAGCCACCGGCCGCCATATTGGTACTCCCTAGTTAGACTGGTCACAATATAAACAATCCATGCGCTAAAGCATCAAACAATGGTGATGTTCTGATTTTCAGGGGACTTTTAA